GCTTTCTTCAGTCCTAACTTCACTCCTTTGCTTTCATTTTCTTTCTTCTTGTTCTCCTTTCACACTGCCTCTGCGAGCGCGTCATGCGCAGTCTCTTCAATGACTGAGCTTTACCCTTCATTGGCCCAGTGCGCCATCGTCGCGACAGCCTTCAAGATTCTTCTTTTCCCCGCATAGTACGTGGTCAGCAAGAATTCCCCGATGGTCCTCTTCGACTGATGCTGACCACCGGCCTCCATTACAGCAAATCTACGGACTTTGAAGTGCATCGGAACTGGCTTGCGATTACACATTCGTTGCCCGTTCAGGAATGGTACTACGAGGTACGATGACACCACCATCACGGGAGACTGAGCGATCAAGCTAAGACCAGTCAATGGCGGCTAGAAAACGTCGGAATGGACCCTCGATTATCCTCCCTTCTTCGCAGCCTTCGAATGGCTTCTTTCACAAGCAGCTCCCTATGTGGACCCTGCAATGCTGGTGGTCAAGAATCTCAACCATGATTCGTGGCAGACGGTATACTACCAGAGAGCTACGGTGATTGTCACTGAACTTGTCCTTCTGTTCGCGCTCAGCAGGTATATTTCCTCTCCCATATTCTGTCTTGTGTCTTAGGTTTCCAGCTGACCAGGCCTACTCATCCCTCAGATTCGTCAAGTCCGTGCCTGAGCAGAACAGACATCTCGCGCATATCGCCAGCCTGTCCATCCTCTTGTCTCCCGGGCTGCTCATCATTGATCACATTCATTTCCAATATAACGGCTTTCTCTACGGTCTTTTAATCCTGTCGATTGTTCTAGCCCGAAAGCAGTCAACGTTGCTCTACAGCGGCATCACTTTTGCTGCACTGCTGTGCTTCAAGCACATTTACCTATATCTTTCGCTCGCCTACTTCGTCTACTTGCTGAGAGCCTATTGTTTGGACCCCAAATCGGTCTTCCGGCCTCAGATTCTTAACACGATCAAGCTGGGAATTTGTGTTGTGGGTATCTTCGCTTTGGCATTTGGCCCATTCGCTTCTTGGGGCCAATTACTCCAACTGAAAGACAGACTCTTTCCGTTCTCGAGAGGGCTATGCCATGCCTACTGGGCGCCAAACGTCTGGGCAATGTACTCGTTTGCTGATCGCGCTCTAATTCCACGTTCGTACTCATTCCGGAGTATAGTTGCATGGTTTGACTGACTTTGTTTGGTAGTTGCTCCTCGCCTGGGGCTCCCAGTCAATCAGGAAGCTCTGACCAGTGTTACGCGCGGCCTCGTTGGCGACACTTCATTTGCGATTCTCCCAGAGGTGACCAAGGAGCATACATTCGCGCTCACATTTCTCTTCCAATTGGTAAGTACATCGTTGCCACCCGCCCCCATCATGAAGCCACAGCGCTGATTGCCATACAGCTGCCATTGATCAAGCTCTGGCGTCGGCCAGACTGGGAGACCTTCGTCGGTGCCGTTACTCTGTGCGGCTACGCATCCTTTCTCTTCGGCTGGCACGTCCACGAAAAAGCCGTTCTCCTCATCATTATCCCCTTCAGTCAGATCGCGCTCAAAGACCGGCGGTATTTCAGTGCGTTCCGGCCGCTCGCGGTAGCCGGCCATGTTTCTCTGTTCCCGCTGCTCTTCACTGCCGCCGAATTCCCGATCAAGACGGTCTACACCGTGTTTTGGCTGATCCTGTTCCTCTTCGCCTTTGACCAGGTGGCACCGGTGCCGGAGCGACGTCGCGTCTTCTATGCCGACCGCTTCTCGTTGCTGTACCTGACGGTGGCCATCCCGCTCATCATCTACTGTTCCGTGGGACACCAGCTCATCTTCGGGCTGGGACGCTATGAGTTCCTCCCGTTGATGTTCATCAGCAGTTATTCCGCTCTGGGAGTGGTTGGTAGCTGGGTCGGGTTTCTGGTGGTCTATTTCACGGCATAGATAGAAACGAAGGCCGGGCTCGGATCTATGTCCTTGCGGAGTTGCAGTATTCACCACAATCCCACGCAATCAATGTTTCAAAATTACTCCCAGTTGTAAGAAGAAAAATCACGAAGTAAAAGACCAAAAAAATCCCATAAGGGACGCAAACCCCATTTGTACATATAAATGTAGTGTAACCCCGACGAATCACACACAAGACAAGAGTTCGAATAAAAAGAGAGAAGGCCAGTTTGCATTGTTTGACTATCATCCACGTGCTTTTTTTGCTGTGGTCGGAGGACCCACCCCGCCCTCCGATCAGTCAATTTTGCAAAGTTTATCAGCGGCTATCAAGCCCAATCGGGTTTAGCGAGGAGGTTTAAACATGGATCGCGTTTTCCACCGTATGTCACACTGCAGATTGGGAGCTCGGGAGAGGAACCAACTAGTAAGGAGCTTGGGGAGCTGGATTTGTGAAAATTGATTAGTGGGGTTTCGCGGTTGTCTCAAGAATAATGGTTGAACTGTCTTAGACATGCGAATTTTGCTCTATATCGATCGGGTATATAACGTTAGATGAGGGTGTGTGGTTTTTGTTGGGGTAGACAAACACAATGTGGCTTGTCTTAGTGTTCGATTTATACTTGGGATGTCGGTTGCCGTTCGGCGAGGGATCAGATGGACTTTTTTTTGTGTTGTGATGTGATGCAGCAGAATCGTGTAGCAAGTACTGATTGGTGGGAACAGAAGGGATTTGGTTGTTCGTGTCTATTTGACTGACGATAATAATGCCGGTTATTTTTTTCTTTTTTCCTTGCAGAGACTTTATGGCGTGGGGTTCTAGAATCGGGGCTTTGCCTGTATTCTTGCCACCGCATTCGAATTTGTCCACACCGCGCCATTAGACTGAAGCAATATGCATGGTGGACTCACTGATGAATAGAAGAATGCTAGAAGCTATTTATGACATCATTCATAAGCTTACTGTTTAGATTTTGTCACTTTTTCAAGCCTCCATGAATGCCGGCCCAGTGTCTGCATCTACACCTGGCAGTTTCCTATTGTGTCTCCTTTTCGTTTGTGCTGATAAACATTCTCAAACCTGAATCTTCTAGCTCCGTCGCCGCAGTCATTGCCCTAGGGCACTGAAGATGAGCCAGTCTATGTTCGGGGGTGGACTTTCCCGAGCAAGATAGGTCGAGGAAGATGCATTAATTCAACTGTGCCCAAAGCCGTGATACCGTCGTTCTTCGACCTGAGTAGACATTACTAGGAAAGAGAGAGAGTCAAGATCGGCATATAAGTCATTGGGGTCTTGTGGATAAAACAACCGGGCTTCAGGTGGTTTCCGCAAATCGTCGATTGTGAGCCTTTCCGGTTACCTATGATGTCTCGCCACACAAGACGCGTGTTAGCCGATTATAAGGGAGACGGGCGAACAAGTAAGATGTAAGCATGCACGCTGCAGACGACCAGATGTGCTTGATGATTGGTACATAATTCCGATAAGATAGTCGACTAGAAGTGGTTTGTCCAGCGATGTCTGGGAGTGCGAGCCTGATATAGTCACACTGCAAGACGAAAGACTAGCTCATCTCTGTTTGAAATGGACGTTAGACACTAACTTGCAATCTAGCTTGTTGGGTGGTTGTTGTCAGAGATGTAAAATGGCATGTACCTGTGGACCGCGAAGCTGGTGTCGTTTCCGAGGCGATCTATAAGGTCGCGTGTTTGACGAGATGGGAAAGATATCATGGCTACGACACGATAGCCTTTTCCTCGTCCATGCACATGGCTATGCAAATTGAATTTAGAAGAAACGCGGGCGATTCGAGCATGATCTCTCATGAGAGTGCGCTGTCATTTGAGGGTGGGTTGCTGTCGGATATCGAGCCCGAAGTATGGTCCCCGCAGCTGGGTCTCGATGGAATTATGGTTTCTGTGCAGGGATGATAAAGACTGGCAAAAAGGAATTATCCCGAGCCCACCACTGTGTTCGCGTGAAGACAACGAGTCGAACGAGTGTAAATACATGTAGAGTTGTGGTGGTGGGGGAGGAAATTGAGGGCGGGCAACAGCAGCGAAGGCTAGAAGAGGAAGAGGGAGGAGGGCAGCCAGAGGGGAGAAGGGCAGGGCAGGGCGATGTCGGCCCAAAGGGGATTAGCGGGGGAAGGTCCACGGTTTTACCCCTACTTCAGTAGTCAGTCCGCCCGACCCGAACGTCTTGTCCGTTCTCTTCCTCCTCCTCTAGTCCAATCACCGCCTTCCGTTGCTCGGCGGCCTTCCCACCCACTCCCACAGCAACTCACTCACTCACTCACTGCTCAGTTGCCGCAAATGATCCTCCACTCCTCTTACCTTACCTACAAATGGGGCCCGCTCCAGTTCTGCCGTTCGTTCTTCTGCGGCGACCGCTTCTCCTTTCTGCCTTGACCTCTTCTTCTTCTTCTTCTCCTCCTACTCCGCCTCCTCCTCCTCCACTTCCTCCTCCTCTTCTTCTCTACTCTTCTCCCTCGACACTCTCTACAGCCTCATTACCTGACTACCCTCACTCGCCCCCCCCACCCCACTCACCCACCCTCACCGTCGCATTTACCTCCCCGCACCAGAGGAGCCTCTTCTGGGATACCTATATCTCTCCCGCTTAGAGATCGACAATTCAGTCCCGGCCTTTCGCGCGACTCCACGCTCCTCCCGGGTTCAATTCTCGTGTCGTGCTCCGCCCACCTGGTCCGCGGAGTCGTGGGTTGCGCGATCCAGCACGCGTCGCTTGGGTAAGTTTTCTACATACTTCTGCAATTTAACTCCCATGCCTATCCAGCACTTTTGCTTCCCCCGAGAATGTCCCATGAAAGTTCTTGCAAGCTATTTCGAGTCCACTATGCGCGCGTATTGTCCCCGAAGTATCATCTCTTCCTTTGTCTCGCCGCAAATAGCACTGCACTTTGTGCTCAATCTCTTTGACAGTCTCTTTGTCTCTCAACATTGCGCTATTATACTAACACAACAATTTAAATGTTAAGCATGTTCCCGACCTGCACAACGCTGAACCATCTATGATCGATTGATTCGTGTCTACAGCAACCTAAGAGACCATGGTACGTCGGCAAGTTCGGAGTGCGAAGTTTGGGGTTATTTGGAGTTTGCGGGGTGGTCACAAACGTTCGAACACAAAACTCACGCCGCGTCTCATAGGTCCTGTTCAAGCGGAAACCAGTTCAATACCTTCCACGGCCCGTCATTGAAGATGACAGCTCCGAAGTGCGTATATCTCGCGGTCAGAATTTTCAATAAAGTCTATGCATGGGGCTCATTGATGTTGCAGGTATGGGTCATCCCAGAGACCAACGAGGTCTTCATTCACTATGAACCCTACCTTCAGCGGATGGACTTCTACAAGCAGAAAAGGTTCATTTGTGAGATCACGGGTCACTCGGGATTGACATTTTTCGAGGCTTTGAAGAGCGAGGTATGTGACAAGGCAACCGACCTATGCTATCTCCGCTAACAGATTGCATCAGATGGAGGAATCGCGTGAAGTCAACAGTGCTTTTCCCGACGCCTTGAAAGAACCAATTCTCCGCCGGATTCAGTTTTCCACAGTGTCGCGGGTCGACAATCTCGGTATGTCTGATTTCTTTCCTTGAAAATTGCTATCGCTGAGACTGACAATGGAGTGCAGTGGACGAGATCTTTGAGGTATATACTAGAGGAAATGTAGATCCGGTGATAGAGACGGATGCTGACCCGGCTCGCAGGAATTTAAGCAAGACTTCTATCCCGGGGAACCCGTTCTGATTCTTCTCGACGACAACACCCGTCTGCATGGTATCATAAGGGACAAGGCCAACTTTGCCGAACAACTCCACCCGGATGGAACCGTCAAGCTGCCCGCCCATAGCACCTATCTTGTCAAGGTTCTGGACCGTCCAAATGAGGAAGCGCTGCTGGACCAGGACCATATCACCCGAGACCGGAAGACTTTCACCAAGCAAATGCTGCGCGCCTTCATCAAGAACAACGTGACACGGGAGGCGTGGAATGGCGCTCCTTGGCTGGTGAAACCTTCGATTGCCGAGGAATACAGAATACCGACCGAAGTACCGAAGCACTTGCAGTATGGCGCCAAGGTTGCCGAAAAGAAGGCTATGAAAAAGGCCGACCAGGAGGGCTTCTTCGGATTCTTTGCTTCGCAGCAACTACCAGAACTGAAACCCGCAGTCAAAGAACAAAAGCTCAAGCCATCGCAGCAAGATTTTGTTCGCTCGAAGGAGGCCCAATTTCTGGAATATCAGCGGTCTCTGAACGGCAATCCATCGTTCCTTCTTGCGCATAAGGCTAACGGAGCTGCTCGTCCCCCCAAACCTCAGGAATTGGAGAAGAAGTTGCAACCGCAACCGCAACCGCAACCTCCTCCCGTCGTGGTTGTCAAGCCCGAACCTCCAAAGGAGCCGACACCACCGCCAATTAAGTACCCTATTGAGGATTTGGATATTGCGCCAGACCCCGAGAAGAAAAAGCAGCGCCCAGCTCTTAGCTATATGACCACCGACGAGGTTGATGACTCAGATGATGAAGAGCTCCTGCACAGTTTTCTCGAGATGGAGTCTGTGGGACGTCTTTTGGAAACGTGGAACACGCTTAATGTCTACTGTGAGGTCTTTCAACTGGACTCCTTCACTTTTGATGACTTCTTTCAGGCCATGCGATTCTCTTCTGAGGACGTGGACTGTGAGCTGTTTGTTGAACTCCATTGCGCTGTGCTGAAGAAGCTCGTCAATGCGGAGAAGGATGAAGAGGGTGCTGTACAAATTTCTCTTCCAGAACTCCCTGACGAAGAATCCGACGACTCGGAGGCGGAAGAGGAAGAAGAGGAGGCAGAGCCTACCCCTGAACCGGAGCCAGTGGTGACAAGGATGACGACTCGGAGTAGCCTAGCCAAGGCCGAAGCGGAAAACCTGAAGGCGCAGGCAGAGCGTGAGGGCTCCAGTGCAGAGGAGATCCCGGTTCATCGAGCCGCCGAGATGTTTGGAGAATATGGTTGGATTGAGCGTCTGCGGAAGCGGGATTTCCGGAATGGTGGTTGGGAACTGGTCATGGTCGGCCTCCTCAATCGGCTTTCAGGCCGCCCGCGCATGAAGGAAGTCTGCAACAAAATTCTCGAACATCTGGCTCCTTTGGATGCCGAAGCAACTCAGGAAACTGCTCAGTACCAATACGCCACCTTGGATATCAACCTTCGCATCCATGCATTGCAAATTATCTGCATGCTCAGCCTTGAAACGAAAGCTATTCGAAATTACCTCGAGGAGTGCAGTAACCAGATGACGGAGTTCCGCAAGGAGAAGATCGAATACCAGAAAGCACGCAAAGTAGTGTAAGTATCACGATTCCGCACCCGCCCGTTTGTTTGACGCTACATCAATCATGATGTTGTTTCTGTGCTTGTCCGAGAATATTGCTTATTGACTTATCGTTGTTTCACAGTCTCGAGGAGCTTCGTCGCTTACACCAGGAGCGTAAGGCTCTTCAGCCGGAGCCCGAGAAGTCTCCATCGCCAGCGCCGGAACTGGACGCCCTGGAGGACTCGAAGATGACTGGCATTGACGGTGATTCCGATAACTCCGACCAAGAGGCAGCTCCCCAGCGGAGTCTTCGTGGTGGCTTGGACCGACAACTTGAGCGCAAGCGCAAGCAAGAAGAGGAGCGCGAGCGGAAAGAACAATTGGCCAAGCAACCTAAGGGAACCAAGCAGTATCAGAGAGTGCTCAAGAAGATCGAGGATCAGAAAGCCGCAGTCAAGAAGCTCGAAGATAAGATTGAGGTTATCGATAACGATCTGAGGGAAGCCGATTGCCCGCGAACCAGATGCCTCGGCAAGGACCGTTTCTGCAACCGCTACTGGTGGTTTGAACGAAACGCGATGCCGTATGGAGGCATGCCCAACAGCTCCACAGCAGAGGCACAGTACGCAAACGGCCGCTTATGGGTCCAAGGTCCGGATGAGTTGGAACGCGTGGGCTTCATTGACGTATCCGACGAATACAAGAAGCAATACTTCAAGCAGTTCCAGACTACGCCAGCAGAGCGCAAAAAACAAGAGGAAGGACCAACGCAACTGACGAACGCAACCGAATGGGGCTATTATGACGAGCCAGATGCTATCGAGCAGCTGCTTGACTGGCTGGACTCCCGTGGTAACCGAGAGTCAAGGCTGCGCAAGGAGCTACAACTGCAGCGTGACAAGATCGCTACATACATGCAACACCGCAAGGAGTACTTGGAGCAGACGGCAGAACGGGCAGAGTCGGAGGAAATCCCCAGCAAGCGAGTCATGACGCGCAACAAGGCCTACGTGGACGACAACAAGCATCGTTGCATGCGCTGGAGAAACAACACGAGCATCAATGACAATGGACACCTTCATGTGGATGCCTCCCGCCCGACCAAACGAGCCAAACGAGCTATCGACGAGTCGAAAGAGATCAAGGCAACCAACCGCCAAGGCAAGCCTCTGACAAGACAAGGCACACGCTACAACTTCTAGAGCAACCGCCGTCTCACTTTCATTGATTTTCTGTTCTGGGATTAGAGGTGTTATAGGATTATTGGATCTGGGCCTGGTCGAGGCTATACATTTGGGTGGCTATGGCTACTAAGAAAAAGGAGTTTTTGATAGAACTTGCATGAGCGATGTGACCATGATTACTTTTGTCAAATTCAGCTTCTCACTCTATATATACATGCATATCGAAGGAAAGCTGTGGGAGGGAGCGGAGCGAGGGATCTCGGCCCTGTACTGAACATTGACGGGAGGAGTATATAAGTTTAGTATCGGATTGAGAATTAAGCAGTTGTCGCGCCTTGAAGAGGGCTGCATGAAGATAAACATGGTCTTAGACTCGTTCATTGTATTTGTAAATGCAGGAACTGGAAGTAGTGATGGCAGGCCGAGTAGCAAGAGTGAGATTATGATGTTGTTGCTGCTGCTGCTGCTGCTGCCTCAGGCATAAAGAGCGATGAGCGTGAATAATTGTTCGGCTGCGGTTGGCCTACCAAACAGAAGAAATCCACTTCCGCCACCCAGTCGGATGCAGGGGCGTTATATGACGGTAACTGCAGCACTAATAGGTGTCGGCGGCAGGTATCGGCATGTCAGGGCTGTAACGTCATCTCCGTCTGAATCTTGAGTTTCCGCCCATCAGGCCGCCCCCCCCCAGAGGGTGCCCGCATGCTGTCTTGCCTCTTCCGACCGTTGGATCCATCCAGATAATAATCAAATCAAATGAAGCGTCAGGGTGGTGACCTTTGCCAGCTGATCATCTCTACCTAGGCTTATCTGCCCCCCTCGGTTTGCTGCGGCCTTTCTTGTCCTCTACATTCCCCTCCCCGCACATTCTCTTACATTCTCCCGCGCCAACTTCTCCCTCCCTTCTACATCACCTTTGACGACCATATCCATGGCCGCAATCATCCGTTAGCCCGTGACCTGCTCGATAACCTGCAGATTTGACCTCGCGCCAGGACTGTGTTGACACCGGTGACGGTATCAGATTATGCGCCGCCGCTGACCGGTCTATCATCAGAATTCGAATTACTGTCCTTCCAGTCAAATAGTCCTTCCAGCCCAGCTCACAGCCTTCTTCAATGGAGCAAGTCGCTCAGTCAAGGCCGGCCCGAGGTCCAGCAGCCAGTGACGCAAAAGAGAGATTAGCCGTGGGCACGACACAGGCGACCGCGGTGGACGATGCGTCCTCCCCACACCAAGCACAGAACGGCCGCGAGGCCACGAAAGAGGTGAACAAGCGCAGCGTAGACTATATCGTACGCAGCGGTGTTGCGGGGGGTCTGGCGGGGTGTGCGGTAGGTTTTTTCCCCCCATGATCCCACACGTTGCAGCTGGCGGCAGACGGATGGACTGACTGTGGACAAACATCGTAGGCCAAAACCGTTGTCGCGCCCCTCGATCGGGTCAAGATTCTCTTTCAGGCCTCGAATCCGCAATTTGCAAAATACACCGGCAGTTGGTTTGGTCTTGTCGCGGCCATTCGAGACATCAAACGCCGCGAAGGCCTCCAAGGCCTCTTCAAAGGACACTCTGCGACTCTCCTCCGTATCTTCCCTTACGCTGCGATTAAGTTCCTTGCCTACGAGCAGTACCGGGCGGTGATGATCCCGTCGCCCGACAAGGAAACGCCGCTGCGCCGACTCGTCTCCGGGAGTATGGCGGGCATCACGTCGGTCTTCTTCACATACCCGCTAGAGTTGATCCGAGTGCGATTAGCGTTCGAGACGAAAAGAACCGCTCGCTCTTCTTTCACCGACATCTTTCGACAGATCTACAACGAACGGGTGACGCCCCCCTCGACGTCCACCGGGGTATCTGCGACGCAGGCCCCCATCACGGCGACGGCCGAGACTGTCTCTGCCGCCGTGAACAAAGCCGTCCCGCACTCGGGACTGGCAAACTTCTACCGCGGCTTCGCCCCGACGCTTCTGGGCATGCTCCCCTACGCTGGCATGTCCTTCCTGACTCACGACACCGTCGGCGACTGGCTGCGCTCCCCCTCCCTCGCCCCCTACACTACCATCCCCGAATCCGAGTCGACCGCTCAATCAAAGAAGGGCTCTCGACGACTCCAGCTGACTGCCGCTGCGGAACTCACCTCCGGTGCTCTGGCGGGGCTGGTCTCCCAGACATCCTCGTACCCGCTGGAGGTCGTCCGGCGTCGGATGCAGGTCGGAGGCGTCGTCGGGGACGGCCATCGGCTGGGGATCGTCGAGACGGCGCGCACCATTATGTTGGAGCGAGGCTTCCGAGGCTTCTGGGTCGGTCTGACGATCGGATATATGAAGATCGTCCCCATGACGGCCACCGGGTTCTTTGTCTATGAACGGTTGAAGTGGTCCCTCGGTATATAGCGACATAATTTTTTATTCTGTTGTTTCTTTTCTAGATCTTCCGAAACATATGGGCGTTAGGGAAGGGGTCGAGAGTTGAGTTGAGTGTTGTCTATACCATTTGTTCATACCCATCCTTCGCCGAGACATTTGCGGTGACGGAGTACAGAGTCTTGTACATAGAGCATATACATTGTATGTTTGATGCTAGATCTTGTGTCTTTCTGGATTATTGTATGCCCTGCGATGATTTTTGGATATCTAGATTTCACATGTACTCAGTAAAAGCGTAAAGCCAAACTGTAGAATGATCTACAATCTTCCGGTTGCAAGTTATCTAGTAGAAAGAGAGCAAAGTCGAGTCCGCCACTTCTCCTCCCCGATTGGCCCACCCGGCCGGGCAGTGCACAGGCCAATCAACGACCGGCCGCCTGGCAAAAAAGTTGCAACTCTAAATGCGCGGCGGGCCTCAGCCATCGCAAGCACTTTAATTTTAGCCACTTGCGCAGCCAATACCACCAGCAACTTAAAAAGAATGACCTCGCGCAAACGCAACGACCCCTTCGATCTCGCTGCCAGCGATGACGACGACCAAGACAAGGGCTACGACTCGGCCGCCGACGAAGAAGCACAGAGCAAAGGCGCGCTGCGCTCCGCCAAACGGCGCCGGGTGAACGACACCGACAATCTTCATGGGCTGGACTCGGACGACTCCGATCTTGATGCAGCGTCTGACAGCGAGGAGGAGAGATCCAAGGGCAAGGGCAGGGCCAAGGCCAAGAAACCCACGACTCGCGCTGCTACGGCGGCCTCCGGGGACGAAGATGAAGATGATGAAGAAGAAGATGCCGCGGCAGAAGATGCTACCGCTACTTGCTCCCCCTCCAACAAGAAGAAATCCCCACTCCTGAAGAAGGACAAGAAAAATAAGACCGGCGTCGTATATCTCAGTTCGCTTCCGCCGCATCTCAAACCGTACGTACCAAATAATGTTCCCCTAATACTCCGATTGTGGAAAACTCATTTACGCCAACGCTAACCCTTTTTTGGTGTAAAGATTCGCCCTCAAAAACCTCATCGAAGCCCGCGGCTTCGGCCCGATCACGCGCGTCTTCCTGACGCCCGAGACGAAGAAGCGGCGCACCACGAACAAGCGCAAGACCTACGCGGACGGGTGGCTGGAGTTCGCCAGCAAGCGGACGGCCAAGATCTGCGCCGAGGCGCTGAACGGGAACATCATCGGCGGGCGCAAGGGCGGGTTTTATCACGATGACATCCTCAACCTCAAGTACCTGCGCGGCTTCAAGTGGAGTGATCTCCAGGAGCAGATCTCGCGCGAGCGGTCGGAGCGCGAGGCGCGGCAGCGCGCGGAGGACTCCAAGGCCCGCAAGGAGGATAAGGTGTTCTTGGAGGGGGTGGAGCGCGGGAAGGTGCTGGATGGGATGCGGAGGAAGAATGAGGAGAAGGAGAGGAGGAGGTTGGAGAAGTTGGCTGTCGGGGGTGCTGCTGAGGGGACTGCTGCTGCTCCTGCGGTTAAGGAGAAGAAGGATGCTAATGGCAATGGCAATGTCAAGGTTCGGCGGGTGTTTAGGCAGAATGAGGTCAAGTTGGGACGGGATAAGAGTACGGATGATTTCAAGGATCTTGGGGCGGAGACGAAACGGGTTCTGGGGAAGATTTTTTGATGCTGATGTTGCGTGCTTCAAATCTGATCTCTATGAGTGTCTTCAAGGTTGCGGGTGTATCTTGTACAGGGAGCATTTTTTTTTCTGTCTGATTGGTTGGCTTATCGATATCCCAGTGTTCATGAATGATTCCTCAAGGTTTTGGTGACTAGTTTGGAAAGATGTTGTAGCTTGTAATCTGAGGAGAGTGCTATCGTCATCTACAAGTAGTAGATCTGGTTTGTGTTTATGAGAGCGATATGTTAGTGGTCTGACACAGTTGGTCTGGCTGTATACCTTATACACATGTGCTGTACTGTAGTCCGCCGGCGAAAATGAAGCTATTCCAGATCGGGTGGATATTTTCTGCCACCGCCAAAACTTACCACTCTGCCCCACCTTTTTTCTGGGCCTGTTCATCCCAGAAATCGCGGATTCCGTTGCGAGGTCGTGAGCGTTCTGCCGCCACAGGCGGTGTAGCAGGCGGTAAATGCGGCTGTCACTTGCATGGTTCCTGGGCTTCTGTGGGGCGCTCGGCCCATTCTGGCTTAGTAGCATTGCGCTTCCCCGCATTCGATGAGGAGATGACGGCGGTTAGCCTAGCCTTTCAGTAGTAGTCGTGTGATGGGACTGACGGTGTCTTCTATTCTCAGCAATCGTCTACAACAACAAGATGAGTGGGCTTCTTCCTCGAAGGCCCTGGTTTAGACCAGGTATTCGATGTAAAGTACTCTCAGCTAAAGCCACGTCAATACCGCGTTATCAATCTCCTTGTCTACTCCAAATCCAATGCTACACTTCCCCAGCGCCGAGTTCTAGACCTGCTGGACACCCGCGCGGACCTACACCACCACCAACAACAAACCTACTCGATGCCGTTATCGCCGACCATCAACACAAGCCTCCCTCCGGACCGAGCAAGCAGACTCTCTACGAGGCATTTGGCGAACACACCGCCGCGGGAGGCGCCGTCTCCGATCATCTGGGCTACTCCGTCGTCTCCACCCTCTTGACCCCGCGAGCCCCCAACGATGCAGAGTTCCCTGACCAGGTGCCGGACGCGGACAAAGAGCTAGCGCTGCGCGTGCTGGAGTACCTCTCCCTGCAGGGGACGCCGGTCCTCGTCATGGGGACGTTCGCCATGCTCTACCAGGCCGCTATCTTTTCCCCACCGCAGCCTCGCACCACGGTCGATACCGACACGGATGATGATTTCTTTGCACCCAGCCCATCCGCCAGGAAGCAAGACGACAACGACATCGACGCAGCCACCCGGATCTCGCGAATGATCACCGCGCTCCACCTCTCCTACCACCCGGACGACGCGCGAAGCCTCATGACCATGCTGTTCCAGAACGGCGACGACGAGACCTTCTGGAAGCTGTGGCGCCGGATTCCGCTGCAGGGAGCGCCGCGCAGCGCCGAGGACTACGCGATGCTGTTCCGCCTGCACGCGCAGCTGGGGGATCCGCGCCGCGCGGAACGCTGCGTGCTGTTGTGGTTCCCTATGATGGCGCGCGAGGGACTCCCCGCTTCGGCTGCGCAGGGGGAGATCGCGCGGCTGGTCGTGCGGTGTATCGACCTTCCGGAGGTGGGAACCTTGAAGCGGGTCTCCGAGGGCAGGCAGTTGGAACAGTTGATGCAGATCCGGGATGAGGCTATCCAGGCGGCTGCCATGTGGTCTAAAGGGGAGAATGAGCATCCGCAAAATCGGTGATGTCGAAGGGTGAGGAGCATGGGCTGTGCGAGACTTGCTGTGTGGTTTGATTGGGGCGGTGGAGCGGAAGTACAGTACTCCTTTTTGCTCGTACGTCCGGGCGTGTCGAATCTGTGGCTGTTAATGTGGTGATGAAGAATACCTGGGATTCTTAGCTTGCTTGACGAAGACGGCGTTAATGTGCTCTTCAGAACCTTGCCTGGGAAAGCTATCTTAGCAGCCGTGGCTACTCCAGTTACATCACGACAACCTGTCGGTGTGATTTCAGCTTTGTTCCCGAAACTTTGGACAGACGTCAGTCAGTGTATGATAGGCAGAGCAACGCAGTTCATGTACTAGAAAGCTTCTGTCTTGTCTCTCTTGTAGTCTCTCTGGTGTGAAGGTGTCTGGTCCATCCAAGGCGAGAATTCTCATGAACTCTATCTGCATGTTCTCATAAATAGCAAGGTAGAGCCCTTCTGTTAGCCAACAACCACGTTGGTGAGTCGGAGTTATGAGACATCTTTGCTGGACCCAATTGACCCATTTGTGATCAAGATGGTGGATATGAGTGTCAACGTTGGAGGCCGCTGATCTGCCGGATCATCAGCAGCCAGACCGAAGCGGAGTGGAAGGCGGCCGGCCGATAAGCCTCGGCTCAGCCCCAGCGCTTCTCCTCCGCATCTTGTCCCGACCACCATTGAATCTCCCTCCTCAACCCATCCGCCCAACCGCTCTATCTCTAACTCACCCCTGTCGCCCTCCAGGGGATGATGACTGGCACTGCTACGACAGTATGGAGTACTTACCGAGTCTGCAGCAGGAATTCGACGAGCTGAAGCCGTCTCTCTTCGGTAAGTACGGAGACAGCCAGCCTCAACCCACTTCTTATCTCACAATCCACACCCAACTAACTAATCCGCTGCTGCATTGTAGAGCTCCTCGCCGAACAACAGCTCTCCGACCTCCTCCCCCCATCCATCCGCTACATCCTCGCAGTCGCCACCCACCGCCACCCGCGATACCTCCTCCGCATCCTCAACTCCTACGATGAGATCTACGCGCTTCTCTCGCTCCTCGTCGAACGATACTACCTCCGCACCTTCGGCGGCTCCTTCACAGAGAACTTCTATTCGCTGAAGCGCGAACGGGTCCTGCTCACGAAGAATGGCGAGATCCCGCGCGCCCAGATCGGCGCGCCGGGCCCCGTGCGCGATGCCCTCCAACTCCGCACGGGAGATGTGTGGAAGAACCTCCTCATCATGGTGGGCATCCCGTACCTCAAGCGCAAGCTGGACGAAGGGTACGACATCCACGCGGCGCCGCAGGCCTCGCTGATCATGAGCGGCGGCCCACGCTACCACCCCGGCGACGAGCTCCCGCCGCGGCCCACCCTGCGCCAGCGGCTCTTCCACTACTACAAATGGTTCCTGCGGAACATCTACCCCTCGCTCAACGCGGGCTACTACCTGAGCATCCTCGCCTTCAACCTCGCCTACCTCTTCGACAACACCAAGTACTCCTCCCCGTTCCTGTGGCTGATCGGCACCCGCATCCGCCGCCTCAGCTCCGCCGACCACCGCGCCATCGCCGCGGTCCTCGACCCTCCATCAGCACCCACCACTCGCTCCCGCACCCGCCCCGGCTCCAGCCTCCTGGGCCTCCTCAGCCCGCAGAACCTGCACGCCCAACTCCTCACCTCCCTCCGCTACTTCCTCCCGGCCTCGATCTTCGCCCTCAAGTTCCTGGAATGGTACCACGCCAGCGACTTCTCGCGGCAGCTCGCCCGCAAAGCCACGGAAGTGCTGGATCTGCCCGCCCCCGTCGCCAACGGGATGACCCCGCCTTCGCAACGGAGATCTTCCAACAAGAAGAACCCCGACGACGCGAAAGCATCCGCCTCTTCCCCCGCGCAACTGAAATCAGCCCTCAAGTCTCCGACCAGCGAGACCCAACTTGACGCAAAAGAACCCCAGGACCGTCGCAGCCCCGTCTCCGCATCCTCCTACCTCCCCATCTTCACCGTTCCCCTGCCCGCCGCGGACTCGGAGACCGCGCAATCATGTTGTCCCATCTGTTTGAACACGCTGACCAACCCCACGGCCTGCCAGACGGGCTACGTCTTCTGCTATGTGTGTGTGTTCCACTGGTTGAATGGGGAGCATCAGCGACAGATTGATTTCATGGACGGGGAGGCCGCGGCCGGGGCGCTGTGGGAGGAGGCGGATGCGGCGCTGGAGGCGCAACAGGCCAAGCAAGCCGGTGGTGAAGATGCGGAATGTGAGGAGGGGAAGATCAAAGCGAAGGGTGGTAGTCGGAGGGGCAAGTGGGAGAGTGGGAGAGGGAGATGTCCGGTTACTGGAAGGAGGGTATTGGGCGGGACGGAGGGGTTGCGGAGGGTTTTGGTGTAGAACAGACTTCTTTGTGTATGTATTAACTTACAAGATTGATGAGCCTAATGTAGACTTATGAGCACTTGACTCCTTATGAAAAGAATCTAGCCTCGCGACGTACAGTTGACTGAATGCTCGGTATGCTATTGGAGGTTAGATGTATGTACACGCTCATTAAAGCCACAGACCAAACTCAACACCAGCGGGTGTAATATGTCTCACGAGCAGAGTACCCACACGTACACTCCAAACACACGCACACATACACACTCTCTCTCTACTCAATAACATACGGCTGGGCCCCCTCCCCAAACACCAAAGCGGGCTTCTCGGCGGCGAGCTTGAGGATCGTCTGCGCGAAGACCGAGTTCGCCCACGCGAACCACGGCCGCGTGTACGTGGAGATGTTGTTCACGTTGATCGACTCGTGGACCAAGCCCAGCAGACTCGAGTTGCGGACCAGGTTCACGCACTCGGTGATTTCGGTGATGTTGTCCGTTGTCATCGCTTGCACGAGCAGGGACATGGGCCATGCATTCTGTAGACCGACTACACGAAAACAAGAGAAAAAAAATTAGTCCTCTTTTCTTCTCTGAGGATTGGAAATACCCAAGTCGGGAAACATAGGGGAGGGGGGGACATACTATGCGGACCCCCGATACCATGGAAATCCGTCCCGGTCAGATAGTACGGGTTTCCGGCGGGACTCAAAATCATCTTGCGCGTGTTCTGATAGACGGGGTCCTGCTGGTCGACAAAACCTAAAAGCGGCAGCGAGAGCAGCGAGGGCACGTTCGCGTCGTCCATCAGGATGCGCGAGCCGTATCCGTCCACCTCGAAGGCGTAGACGTCGCCGTACACCGGGTGATGGACGATGCCGTGCTCGCGGACGGCCTGCGCGAGCTTCTCCCCGCGGGACTGCAGGTCATCCGCGACGACATCGAGGTGGGTTGCGTTGTTGTTTTTGTTGTTGTTCCCGTTCCCCGCTGCCGCGGCGCGGCGGCGCAGCACCGCGGCGGTTTTCTGCAGCTGCACGGCCATCATGGCGTTCGGGGGGATGAAGAAGCCCAGGATGGTGGCGTCGTCGCTGGGCCGGAAGGCGCTGCGGATGAGCCCCGTGCCGCCGTTGAGTGGGTTGCCGATCCCCGCGAGATTGAGGGTCTCGGTGCCCAGGGTCGTCTGGCGCTGGAAGGTGTACTCGTTCGTCACGTACTGCTGGGCGGCGTTGAACGTCGGTTGGGACTGAGCGTCGAGGACCCGCAGCACGGTGTCGAGGGCCTGGTACCATCTCGGAGTCAGAAACTCGGTCGACCCCGTGTGCTCGTGGAACTGGGTGCCCAGCGCGAGGAAGTTGGCCAGCGAGTCGAGCTCGTACTTGCATTCGAAGACCACGGAGGTGTTGTACGCTGGCGTCACCGTGTCCTGCTGGCTGCTGCTGGCCGGCTGGATGCCACTTGCCGAGGGCGGCTGGAAGGCATTGCAGTAGGGGGACTGGATGACGTATTCCACCTGGGTGTTGATGGCACCGAGGATGAGGTTGTAGAGAGCCTGGTCCTTCTTGGCCAGGGCCTGATAGCCGGAGAGCTGGTTCGTCGAGTCGCGCAGCCATTCGGCGTTGATGTCGCCGGTGACTATGAAGGACTGCAGCCCTTGCCATTGAGGTGCGTTGTTGTTGGCTCGTTTCCGCTTCGGGGAATCTGTTGACGTTGATGTCTGGGTCCCGTTGACGTGCCAGCGGATGGTCGTGTCTAGCGTGTTGGGAAAGGCATTCCGGAACAGCTGCGCGAGGTCTTTGTCGACCATTCGCGACGTCACATCTTCAATGACAGTCTCTACTGCAGGTGACGAGAAGGTCCGGCATTCGACAGAAGGGCGCTGGAACGGCAGATTCAAGGCACCGCCGCTGTACGGGGCACTGCGGGTGATTAGTTGGAATCTTCAAAGTTGGAAGGCCAAAGTCGCAACTCACTGTCCGACAGAGGAATAGGATAGGTATTCAGGACAGGAACGCCGCAGAATCGCCTGCTCATCGCGAACTGTAGCACCTGTAGCGCCTATACTGGCTGCTAGAACGACGATTAGTGCCGCAGAGCGTGTCATGACGAGCCTAGGTATTTTAGGAAGTCGGTGTGGTGCGACACAGTGGGAGATAAACAATTATTCCACAAAGACCAAGGTGAAAAGAAAGGAAGAGGAGGAGGCATGATGTAGAAGTGGACTGGTGGGCGTGACGGAGGTGACAAGGGGAAGGAAGTTGGAATGCGGGCCAGAAATGCGGAGAAGATCAACAGGGATCGGCGCCGAGGCCGTCATTCGGTCGCGTCGCATTGCATTGTTACACTTGCACCGTCTGCATCGTATGACTTGTGTGACTCGACACGCTCCATGACTGCGATAGATCGGTATCTAGTTGTCTGATAGAGATCTCTACGTTGTACAGTGTAAACACCGCTCCGTTCTTGTATCATGCCACCACCCTCGCCTCCACCACTGCCTCGCTATTTCTTTGCAAAGAACGACATGATGCTGCCCTGACCAGCTTTAGGCCCGGCTTTCCCCTTGGGCGCACTTACGGCCGGCTTCTTCTTGGGCGGCGGTGCTGGTTCATCCTCCGAAAATGACTCCCAGCTCGGCTCTTCGACGGTGACTAGACCAAATAGTCAGTGAATGTCTTCCGAAAAAAAGTACACCGAGGGAGATCTCACCGAGGTAGCCCTCTTCATCCTTGACCGTCTTCTTCTTCATCACCTGGCGCCTGCCTCGTCGACGGCCTGCGTGGACAATCACCTCTTCCTTGGGTTCGGCCGCTCTAGGAGGTGGTTGGTCGATGACATTGGACTCCTCTTCGGGCGACGGCGCGGCATCAGGCATTTCTTCATCTTCTTCCTCATCTGTACGAGTCAACAGCTGCCAATGAGGCGGAATGGAGGAACATACCATCATCCTCCATCATCTTCCGAAGCCTCTCCTCCCGCTCTTTCCGAGTCTCCCGCGTGCTGGTAGAAGCAGACTTGCCCGAGTCAGGGAATAGTTCGTCAGGCTCGTCCTCGGATGCGTCGTCCAGAACAACTGCCCAGTATTAGTCACCGTCATTTTCTGAAAACTTCTCATACACTTACCATCTTCAGAGGCGCTAGGTTCGGCCTAATATACCTGTTAGCCTGCATTCGAAACCGCACGTGAGACCGGAAGAGAACTAACCGTATCAACGCCAGAAGAAGCGGGAGTTGGCTCATCCACCTTCTTGGGCTTCGCTTTGGCCTTGGCAAACGAACTGAATATGCTACTCTTCTCCTTCTTGACCGGCGCCGTCTTCTCCGTCGACCTAGTCGATGAGACGGAATCCTCCCTTTTTAGCGACTGCTGAGACTTGGGTTCCTCCTCCTTGGTTTCCGTCTTGGGCGGCTTTGGCGCTTCACTTGCCGTGGGCTTCTTCGCTAGTGCAGCCGTTTTGGCGGGTGCAGGTGCAGGTGCAGGTACCGGTGGTCGAACGCCAGTTCTCCTCTACAACCCCCACATATAGCGCATTAGAACGGCAACAGGCGAGAATGACCACATAAAACAAACACAAACCTTGACGTTCTTGTTCTGAATCATGCCCCAGGATAACCCGTGCTCCAGCGGGTCTTCCTGCGCATGGTTGGCCAGTGTCTCCCGGGCCACATCCGTCAAGACATTGAGATCCTGCAGCACAGTAGGCTGTAAACTGTAGACATATATCGAGGCGATAGACTGGAACGTTGCTTTGGCATCTGGCCCCCATTATCAGTTTATAAGACCACGCGCCATGCCATACTCGTCCCGCAAGTCTGCGACACCACTCACCCTCCAGATCTTCCTCGCGCACAAGCAGTATCGAGGAGATCGCGACTTCGTCTGCATCGCCATCCTGGTTCGGCATCGAGCTGCTTATGTAGGGGCTGCTAGGGGGGATATCGTCTGTATCGGCGCTGGACTGGAAACCATTCGCGGAGGTTGCTGGCTCGGGCGCCTTCTGAACTCCCGTGAGGATATACGTCGCATTGACGCTGTTGGGTTTCTTGTTGTTCTCATTGTGGTGAAAGTCGTACAGCATTCTTGCAATCAACCACCGTTAGCAGACGAGCTTCCCTGGTATCGAGACAGCTCGCGGTAGAACTTACTGCTTCGCTAACGTGCTATGCACACGGAAAGCTCGACCCAGCGAGCGATAAGTGACCTAAGCATTCACATGAAATCGAATCAGAATCCCAATCTCAATCCCCGGCCAAAACACAGACTCCTTTCCGGTTTGACTCACCGTGCGCTGCTCATTGAGAACATTCTCCGCCAGATAGGTCTTATAGTCCGCGATCGCCATGTTGTCAGAATATCGCGTTTCGCTTTTGTCACTTGCACGAAGTCAACAAAAGTGAGCTGCGGACAAATCGGCCGACGACGGACGCGTTCTCCACCAAAACCACTTTACGCGTATCAGTCAGCCAGCTTCTTTTCCGCGGCAGTCTTGGCGCCACCCGCCGCCGCCGTCGCCGAAATCCATCCCTCCATCAATAAGTTGATAGTCTACTTACCTACAAAGAAAGCCCTCCAAAAAATCTTCCTTATCCATTCCGCCCTCCGAATGTAGTTCACCTTAACCCTGACCAGCACTACTATCACCCAGCCTTGAGTCGCGTTGGTTGACTTTATCATTTGGACCTAAATTTCAGAGCAGCTTCCGAAACACCCACCAAACAAAACCCCAGAACCTCAATGCTTTCGCAATAGTCCACCGTCGATACCTTTTAACCACCCAATGGCCCACCAGACGTTTGACCTCCCCGACTCGACCGACTGGCTGACCACGCCACTGTCCCTCCTCGCGCCGCTCGAGTCCGCCCTGCGATGTCAAGTCTGCAAGGACTTCTTCGAGAACCCCGTCATCACCTCGTGCAGCCACACATTCTGCTCATTGTGCATCCGCCGCTGTCTCAGCACGGAGGGAAAATGTCCCGCGTGTCGCAGCTCGGACCAGGAGCTGAAGCTGCGGCAGAATTGGGCGGTGCAGGAGCTCGTTGAGACGTTTCAGAATGCGAGACCGAGCGTCTTGCAGCTAGCCACCCAGGCGGCGGCGGCGGCGGCGCAGCAAAATAGTGAGGAGGGGGGTTTAGCGCGGGCAGCGAAGAAGCGGAAGGTAGATGTGTCGGGGGAGCTCGGAGACGGGATCGCGACTACTTCTACGGAGACAGATATTGCTGCGGTGAGGTCAGTGGAGGGGGTGCGGACGCGCTCGCAGGCGAGGGGGGGAGGTCCGACGCAGCAAGCTCCTGCAGAAGTGATTGAGGTGATCGACGATAGTCAGGATGAGGAGTTTGTTCAAGGTATGTTTTTTTTTTCATGTCCTACGAGCTGTCCGATGCAGTGTGCTAAAAGCTGGCTTCCAGCAGATGGACTTGTCGCGTGTCCTGTATGTCAGCGGAGGATGAAGAACGAAGCCGTGTTCTCACATCTTGATAAATGCACCGGAGAACCTGCACCACCCAAAGCTTCCCCCAAGACTTCCTTCGGGTAAGGATGCTCTCATGCTTACGTGTGTCAGAAACGGTTCTGACTCTTATAGCTCTCTACAAATGCCGATGTCTGCGCCAGTTCCATACAGGAATCCCAAGAACAAACCACTTGAGAGACTTCCAACCATTAATTATTCTCTATATAAGGAGAGTATGCTTCGGAAAAAGCTCAAAGATCTGGGCATCCCCAGTACAGGCCCACGGCCACTGCTGCAAAGACGCCATACCGAATGGGTGAATCTGTGGAACGCTAATTGCGACTCCAAGTCGCCTAAGCCTCATGGAATCTTGTTGCGTGAACTCGACATCTGGGAACGAACTCAAGGCAACCAATCTTCTTCATCGTCCGAGGCTCCTGGATCAATCATGCGCAAGGATTTCGATAAAGCTGCTTGGTCATCAAGCCATGAAGACGACTTCAAGAAACTCATTGCCAATGCTCGGCAAAAGAGTCGCGCGGCGGCGCGTACGACAACACCACAAGAATCCGCTGCGTCGAGTACAATGCAGAACACACCTGCTTCAGAGCCGACAGATGCCTCGTTGCCAGCGGACACCACAGATCCTCCCGACAGTGTGCCTGTAGATGCCAGTATGTCAGGTGCTGTAGCGCCCGAGACTCCACTGCCACCAGAGTCATTCAATGGCGGACTGACTGAAATGCATCACTAATGCTCCCGTGATGCTGGTCGCCAAACCTTATGTTCTGTATATATAATCTTCGACGGTTAAAGGCTGCTCTCCTTGATCACTGAGCTGTGGCGCTGGGGGTTTCTTCGACCGACATGCGGGACAACCTCTCCTCTAGCTCAAAATCAAGATCCCTCTCTGCTGCTGCACTGCGCGCGGCTTCTTTGGCACGCTGCTCGAGCTTGTCGAGTTCGGCAAGTTTGTTGCGGGTCTCTTCTGCTTCCTTCTCCTCTCTCGCCTCCCGCTCTTTGTTCTCCAACTCCTCAAGCTCCTCATCGATCTCCATCTCGTCGATCTGCGGACCGGCCTCATTCAGGATGTTTCCGACCTCATCCACCTTTGTCATCTCATCACGCAACTCCTCCACTACATCCTCAACCCTAGCCGCACCTCCGATCTGTGCATGCAAGCCACGCAGCGCTCCAGCGCTCGACTCCATCACCTTAACAAACTCAACCTGATCCGTAGCCTGTTCTATCTTCGAATAGACCTCCTCGAGCTGCATCAGGGTATCGAATCTCTGCTTGAGATTGTGCTCAGCAAGTTTCTTCGAGCGTACAGCCGAAAGCGCAGAGACGCGATTCTTGTTCTGCAGCGCCGTCTTCGCAGTCAGATTCAGCTCGTCGATCTTCTTCTCCAGACTCTCGACCTGGGTGGCCATCGTAGCCATGAGCGATTTGATCGAGGCCACGGCGGTATCTTGCTCCGTGATCTCCCTCGGCGAGTCGTTGGTAGGTCTAAATCTGATAGTCTACACCATAATTAGCCATAAACACCCCAATGATAGACAAAAAACAATGCAAGAAACAAACCTTTCCATCGTACGCGATGGCCCCACTATCGCGGGACAGATACAGCAAAAGCACATCCAGATCCGCATTGGACAACTGGCTCCCCTCATCCAAGATGGAAGCGAACTCCTCCACAAACTTCTCCTTAGAGTAAACCAGGTCCGTCTTGGACGGATTCTGCCCCATAGCCTTCTTAACCACTCTCTCAGCAGCTTCCTGTTCCACAACCACAGCAAAGCAATCATCAGCCCCTCACCCAATCTAACCGCATCGCCTCTTCATTTGAGAACATACCTTCAGATTCTCCACCAGCACCAACTCCTGCGCCTGCAGTCGGGGTGTCGCCTCCTCGGACCCCAAAACCACCCCCTTCAACTGCTTCATTCCCCAGCTCATGACCACCCAGGGACTCAACGCCGAAGTATCGACCACCCAACCGGGCTTCTGCAAGCTCACCCCACTATTCTTGTACATCTGCAACGGCACCATCGTGCGATTCCGGATCGCCTCATCCTAAGAAAAAGACACAGAACCATGGTCGTGTTAGCGACGAGACTTCCTTCCCCAGAAAAAAAAATAACACCTCTGAAAAACCCTTCGACCAAACAAGATGAGGGAAATGAAAAGAGAGGCTCACAAAAACCGCCCCCAGCGCCACCGGTCGCCCGCACTCGAGGATTTCCAAATCACGGAGAAGAGTCTCATCCGCCCGTAGGATCAGATGATTGGCCTTTGGCTTCGCGCTGGCGGGGGACGAGGATGAAGGGGTGGAGTGGATATAGCCGTGTTTCGCGGCGTTGGCGAGGACGTGTTGCCATGCTGCGATGTTGGTGTTGTACCCCTCTGGGTTGATCTTGCGGTGGGTGGGGAAGTCGGAGTAGAGGGATGGGAGGCGGTTTCTGTCATGCCAAACCAAAGGATCAGTGAGATGACACTTTTTGTGAGCTGTGCGATAGACTGGGATTCAACGGACACGGGGCTGGCTGGTCCAGTCGATGGATTACCCACTTTCTGAATTGATCCTGCGAGAGGATGTAGTTGAGGAGGTCGTTCATGTTGGATTCTTCGCGGGTGAGATGTGGTAGGTGTAGATGATGATGGTGAGATTAGGATTAGATATTCGTGGGAGAAAGTATGACATAAATCGTCAGCAGTAAGCAGTGTTGTGAGGGCTCTGCCTGCTTGACGGCTGCTCTGGCCTTTGTTCCGCGGTGTCCTTCGGGTGGGAATCTGATGTCAATAAATGGGCCAGCCCGTTGGTTGTCCGGGTGGTGATCTTATCGATAAGATCGGGTCATGTGATGGTTCGCTCGGGGAATGCACCGTGGACGTCATCGGACGGCTGGAGGACCCTGGTTACTGCATGCCGGGCTTACATGAGATGATGGCTCAGTGACTGGCAAGGTAAAAGAGCAGAGCAATTACAACGCAGGTGACACATATATACGAAGCATTAGATTCGACGAGTGTCTATAATGATGTATAACCTTCCATGCGCCTATCCGGCCTTTTCATTCCGTCCCTAAGCTCGTTCAAAGTCATCATCGGCTGCATTGTCATTATCCCTCATACCCTGTGTCGGGCTAAGTCCGGAGTCCAGAGGATTCACAATCAGGGACTTCCGATTCTTGCGTCGATCCAGCTGCTCGCTCGTCTCTTCGGTTCCCAGAGCTGCTGCGGTGGCTGTCTCGTCCCTAGTATCTAGGCCTCGAGCCTCGAGATACTCAACCTTCACGGCATGCCTAAGGTTGTCGATGAAAGTTTGCATCTCTGGCATTGAAAATGCCCCATCCCCCTGCAGAACGTCCGCATACAGGCGCTCCGCCTCCTCCAAGGCTGCCGAGGCTAGGGAAGGTTTCCCCAGTCGAAGCCACAGATCTGCAGCGAAAACGCTCCACATCCCGGCCTTGCGACGACGAGACCCCCATTTCATGCCAGGCACGGCGTTGCGGGCCGCATAACAGGCCGAGATTCGTTCACTGAAGAGACCCTGCCCGATAGAGCCGGCGAGACCCTGGTCCATGACCCGCATGGCCCATCTAGCCGCGCTCTCTACCGCCGAGCCACCCCGTGATTTAAGCAACTCCATCGCTAGAGTCAGACATCGTAGAGTGTTGGGCGCATCCGAGCATCGAGTTAAGTACGAATAAGAGGCCGTCTCGAGCATCTGATCAATCGCCTCGATCTTGACTTTGGTACTCATGGAAGATGGACTCAAGAGCATGCTCACAGCCGACATCTCATAGGCACCCGCGTGATATTTCCAAGCCTTGTCGTTCGCGTAATCGGACCGCAAAAGTTCGTACGTCGATGCGGAAAGCTTCCAATCACGAAGCATAAATGCAAAGTCAGCCATCTTACGCAGGACAGCCTCGGGCGCGTCAAATTTGTAGTAGCCATGAGCCGTATCATAATTGCCACTGGCTCCACCAGAGGTCAGACTGGATCGAGAGCCGGATCCGAAGCCTGCCCAACGGCGTGACATGGACATGAATCTTCCGCTGATACCACGTCTGCGAGAGGCTACTTGATCATTCCATACCGCCACTCGGTTTTCCATGTACGGCACGACTGATTGCGCAACTAATTCCCGAACGAATGCCCTAATCGCCATCATATCCGACTCAAAGACGTGCGGAAGCCCACCCGTATCAAGGTCTACTAAGGGCTCTGGTATTTATTAGCACTTAACGCACAATCAGTCCAAGCGACCTGTCTCACCTGCCCAGCCATGCAACCGCTCCGATGGCGAAAGCCATTCACACTCAGGTACTTGAACACTGTCATCATCTGTAACCACACATTGATTGCTGCGCAATCTCAGCAGGTGACAATGAAGCCCGAAATGGCGTTTCATTTGATCGTATAGCTTCGTAGACTCTGTGATGTCGTCGCGATCCTCATCATGCACTAAGACGTAGTACCGGAGATACTCAGGATGGATCCAGTCAGGCACCCGTTTATCTCCATTGTTGGTGTCTGCATAGAGTCGTCTTAGAGTCTCCAGAGGGGCAATATTGCGCGAGCTGATGGCGATAACACAGGCCACTGGATGTCGAAAAGTCTCGTGGGGTGTCGCCGATGCTATGGATAAAAGCTGTCGAAGGTATAGTTTGTATAATGGTGATGTGCTGGGGAAACCGAGAAAGTCCTTGGGGTATAGAGACCCGCCCAGCGGATCGTCCAATGAGCCCAGTTGCTTCTCCAAGACCTCCTCCACGTGTGCTAAAGGGGAGCTCCGCCCCCCGCTTGACTCAGGGGGACTTTGATTATTGTTTCCAAGATCGACAAAGCGCACTCCATAATCCTCCCAGCTCCGACTCGCTCCAACACTATCCCGAATGACAAGCTTTCCTGGGATATTCTCGCCAAATGGCCGGATTAACTGCCAAAACCCGCCCGCAAACCCCTTTTGCCTTACTAATTCATCGGTGTCCGCTGATGCATAGACTCCGACTACCGGAGAGAACGAGCGTATGATCAGCGAGCGTATCTCCTCGGAGCCTTCAAACCGTCCTTCTACTGGAGAGCCGAGGGATGACCGGGCCAATTGGGGTGTTGACGATCGAAAGGACGGTGTCCGCGGTGATGCTGATCGAATTGGCAATTCTGACGTCGTGGCGGAAAGAGGCGGGGTCGGGGATGCGACCCTGGACTCAGCAAGATCTGCATCTAGAGACGGAGAAGAGTCGCGGCGCTGGTTTGGATACCTCGTCTTGGAAGCGACACGCGGAACGCCGGGCGAGAACGACGGCGGAGGCTTGACCGGAGCAGCATCTCCGGGCGATGTCATGGACTCCGAGTAAGTTGCGACGCGACACTAAAAGAGGTTGAAAAGAATCTAGAGCCCATCGACTGGGAAGACGATGTCAGAAATATTAGAAGGTCAAGCAAGAAGTGCGCGAGGAGTAAAGTCAGCTGTCAGCCTGGGAGATGTGGAATGGAGAAAGAGGGAAGGAAGATGAAGAGAAAATAAGACGGTGCTGGAATGAATGAAGCCACTTCACCGCGGCCGCAACGTGGGAGAACAGTAGAGGTAAATCGGACCATGCACGTGAGACCTCCTGTCAGCCACGGACAATTATCGACTCGGCAGAATTTCAGACTAGCCTCAAAGATTCATTTAATCGATACACATTAGATTGTCAATCACCTTAAAGTCAACAAGCCAATAACAACAAACCGACTCTCTGTGACCTCACCGTGCCGATGGAGAATGATTCTGAAGAGGCAGGCGGTGGAGGCAGCCCGCATGAATCTGCCGGTTGTACTATTGCTCCGTCGCTGCAGTCATGCTCTATTCTTGGAATGGACTTCTCTCTTTCGAAGAGCAGCCCGGTCAATGTTCTGTCATACTTCCCTGATGAACCGCTCCTGAGTCACGGTTGTCATGGCATATGTCAATGTGTGCGACTCTTCCCCCCCGTGCCCTGGTCAAGTTCCCTCGATTCCGCCCCGCCGTCATTCTTTCTTCACGAACTTATAGCGCTGCCCATTCTACCCCTCTAACACGCCTCCATCCTCAATCCTCTACCCCCAACTTATATCCTCGGCAACACCTGCACAAGCACAGAGCTGCTCTTTCCATCTCGTTCATGAGACGTCCCGAATCCCGCAGCCCTTCTCACCGACCGGAAAAACGACGGCGCCTGTCTGTGGCTGCCCCGCGCGAGAACACCATGAGCGAATCCACCGATACTCTCCCTGAAATCCAGTTGACGCCTCTCGAGAATACTCTCAAAACCCTCCTACTTGATGTTGCAAAGTATATACATGAACGAAGGTGCGCAGAAGGTTCTCATGATGCGAACCCCTCCGGCACTGTCTTGCGATTCACTGGAGGATGGGTGCGCGACAAGTTGCTCGGAGTGGACAGCCAAGATATCGATGTTGGCATCAACAACATGACTGGATATCAGTTTGGGCTCTTGCTGAAAGAGTACATGGACATCCCTGGCAACTTGGACAAATACCGGAAGGATCATGCGAGCGGCGATCTAGGCAAAGAGCTTGTCAGTCTGCATAAGATCGAGGCGAATCCGGAGAAATCCAAGCACCTAGAAACAGTGACGACGAACATTTTCGGCTTCGATGTAGACTTGGTCAACTTGAGGAAAGAGACATATACCGCCGATAGCCGGAACCCTCAGATGGAGTTCGGAACAGCCGAGGAAGACGCGTTGCGCCGGGACGCCACCATCAACGCACTTTTCTATAATCTCAACGAGTCCAAGGTCGAAGATTTGACCAGACGCGGTCTTCAGGATATGCAGGACCAGATCATCCGCACTCCATTGGAGCCATATCAAACATTCCAGGATGACCCATTGCGTGTGCTACGACTAATCCGTTTCGCGAGCCGCCTGGGATACCTGATACACCCTGAAACTGAGGCGGCAATGCAGAACGCTCATATAGGCGAGGCTCTGAAGCTTAAAATCAGCCGTGAGCGAGTCCTGAAGGAACTTGAAAAGATGCTTCATGGTTAGCGAATATGCCTCCAACTTACGCTAGATCTTATGCTGATTATTTTTAGGACCTGATCCTCGCGGTGCCCTACATATAATAGATCGCCTAGGTCTTTATCCGACTATCTTCGCTAATTTCCAGGATGATGCCACTGTTGAGACTTCATCCTGGCATTTCGCCTACAACACAGTAGAGAGACTGATACGGCCTACTGATGTCGACCCTCGACAGACAGTGGAACAAGTTCGGAACTTTCTCATTCGCGACAAGCAAGAGGAGTTCTACGCCTGGATGCTCTCAGCAATGGCTCCGTGGTCAAAGGTCTCAGGCCGCCCCCCAAAAGGCAAAGGGCGGCCACCACCGCCTCGGGCTGCAGAGGTTGCCAAAGAAAGCTTGCGAGCTGACAACAAAGTGATATCTGTTGTGGGAGATGCAGCAGCAAGCTGGCAGTCGATTATTGAGGTGAAGAACTCAATCTTGGAAGGGACTGTGAGTGGAACGGCAATGGAAGTTCGCAGGCACGTTGGGTTGCACATTCGTTCTTGGAAAAAGGACTGGAGGCTGTGCATTGTTCAGGCCATACTTCAGGAGGTCGTGAGCGGACGCCAGTATGACCTAGGTGAGAATCTCAAGCCCATTCTTCCCACACAACCCGTACGGACAGCTGACTTATGTTGTGCATTAGTGGTCGAAGAGTATGCCAGGTTTATCGGGTACATCAAGGAACAAGGCCTGCAAGATGTATACGATCTGAAACCGCTTGTTAATGGCGATCAAGTCATGAAGACCATGGGTGGTAAGAAGGGACCATGGCTGGCCAAGGCATTGCAGATGGTGGTTGAATGGCAACTAGTGCATCCCGAGTCAACCGATCAAGAGGAAGTCCTGAAAGTCTTAGCTGATAAAAGACAAGAGCTTGGGGTCTGATAGAGTCAAAATTTATGAATAGAAGTTAGCGAGCGCATAGCTGAACAATTTTTTGGTGGTCTCAAGTAACTGTAGACATGGAGTTGCAGCGTGACTGACGGCTTGGGCGAAATCCGCCAACTGACCGCTCGCTGCATAAACTGCCGTCATACAAACCATGGGATCGCAGTCCAACTTTCTCCTCAAATTCTCAAGTTCTGGACCTCTGTGTCACCTGAACCTTCTCCCGCCTGTTGAATTTCCAGTAAAGCCTTCAATAACAATTCACAACTCATCGTAACCTCCTTTTAGGGCAAGAGCGCTGGATTGCCTGCCAAGTGCACGGATAGATGGAAGAACTCCGCGCGGCAGCATGCGAATCCCTCCCGCGAGGTGATCTTCAACTCCCAGAGGCTGCGACTGCCCGCTATACCACCACGGGAGGCTTGAATCACCTATGGCAGGATTGCTTGTCTCAAGCTGAATCGGACCCGGCCAAAGTAAGCGCCCAGCTTAGCACATACAATAGTCATTGCTGACAAATCCCCTTCAGCTTCGTGAGAACCTACTGGTGGCCCAAGCAGTCCTGCACAACTGGGCTTCTGAGACGGCGCTTGAAGCCGATGTAGAGGCGGCAGATTACATCTATGACTGGGCAAGCAACGCTGCCCTCCCTTCGTCCATCTTCGCGGAGACAATCGAAGAGGCCAGTGGTAAGATCGGCCCGGTTCTCTTGAATTAACACGCTGCTAACCATTCCTCCAGAACGCAAGCTTGCCGCCATTGCTGAAGAGAAGCAAAAGCTGACGCAAGCTATCACCGTCATTTCCGGACTGAACAAAGTGCACCCCATTGGCAAAGCGGCCAACATCCCTAATATTCTCGTTGCGCTTGCTAGCTTCACTTCGGAAGCCGATCCCTGGTCCACCGAAGAAGCGCACCGGATCTCAATTGACATCCTTCGAGGTTTCAGCGCGACCACGCGCTCCGATGGCACTCTGTGGACGCATCTCGAGACGGTCCTGAAGGAGAGGATCCGACCTCTCTTCACCAAGACGAGGAACCCAGCCATTACAGCAGAGGGCCGCAAGAACTTCCACCCTGTCCCTCTGGCCCGATTCGACCTCACCACTCTGGACCCAGAAGCGAAGCCCTGGAAGGCGTTTGCCGTTTACTCAACCACAGTCTTTAGCTGGGCACTCGCTCAATATGACGTTTGTCTCCCTTGACACCTGAAATTGAAGCCCCCCCCAAAAAAGAACCAGCATCACTAACCCCTAGACTGTTCCCGCAAAGTCCACATCGATCACCCAACTAGAACGACAATTCTCGCAACTCATCCCGCCAATCCTCGCGCTCATCGACGACGAGACCCTGACCTCCAAGATCCGCGGCTGCACCCTCCTCAGAGAACTCCTGCAACCCATCCGCTACGTCCAATCGGACATCCTGCGGCGCACGAACCTCAGCTCCGTCTTCGAGGACGCCCTCCGGCCATGCCTACTCTCCCTGCCGACCATCACCCCGGAAGACGACTCCCTTCGCCTGTTGAGCACCGCCTACCCGGCCCTGCACGCGCTCCTCGAAACCAGCTACGCCACCGGCGGCGGCAGCAGCAGCAGCAGCAGCAGCAGCAATAAACCCGAATTCACCGCGGGCCTGACCAAAACCCTGCGCGACAACCTGATCACCTCCTTCCACCACATCAGCTCCACGAACCCAATAACCTCCCCCTCCGCTTCCTCCGCACTGACCTCCTTCCCCCACCCCAGGCTCTCCACGCTCATCCTCACCGAGATCCAACGAACGACCACCGCCCTCGGCATCGAGTCCACAAAATACCTGCAGGAGACCATCCCCCTGATCTACAGCACCCTCACCAACCCGTTCGGGACCGCGCACCCGCCCCTCCTCTTCGCGGCGGTGGGCGTCGCCCGCGCCGTGATCCTGAACGCCCACCCGCGCGTCTGGCGCTGGCGGACTGAGATCCTGGGCGGGGTTTGCCCATGCTGGTTGAATGTCGTCGACGAGGAGCGGGAGATCCGCGCCGCCGCCGGGGGGTCGACCACCAGGAGGTTAAAAAATTCCCGGAGTCATGCTCCCGAGAATGATGGACGGTTGAGGATTTTGGGGAGGCTGAAGAACGAGCTGCAGGGCGTCGTCGCTCTGCTGCGGTTGGCATTGGAAAAGCCCCTGCGGCCGGACACGCCGGAGCAGGAGGCCCTCGCGGCTGGTGACTTTGGTAAGGAGCTGGAGGAGCTCGTTGCGGCGGAGGAAGAGCTGCGTGGGCTGCTCTTCGCGGAAGTGGATCCGTCAGATGGGAGGTATTTTGGGCAGGCGGAAGGAGAAGAATGATTCAGTCAAATCTTGCGTCGTATCGACTCATCCCCCTTCGGCTGTCAATAGGAGCGAGGCACTTTGTCGTTTGCTTATGATTTCAGATTGAAAGTCCCGAGATTAGGGTCAGGGCGATGTGATCCGAGTTTTGCCAGAGAGATTGAGCTACTTGAAGTGATGCTTCAAATTTACGCCGATTTTAAGTACAGCCATCATTGAGAAATAGTCACAATAGGTACTCAGTAGCTACAACACTATCTGAAACTCTAATTTTTCTTCAACCCCGATGGAACAAGTAAATAACAACGAAAAAAAAGTAAAAGAAAAAAAAAAAAAAAAAACCACAAGATCTGATGGTAGCAGAAAACATCAGGAAGTGCGCACGCACGCGGCAAAGGGTATCATGTCATGGCAAGGGCATTTGGTGAAACAACACAATTCGTGGAAGGTTTGAACAAAGCGAGACGAAGATCAATGAATCAGAAGACAAAAAGTTCTCTAAACATACTTTTCCATGAAACATGCTTCCATCCCTCCTAGGCACGATGAGCATCAATTCTAAGAATCAACACGCTGCTTGAAAAGACTCTTGCCCCGCAACCACTGCCGGTAGCGCTTGTATCGCTTTTTGTCGTAGTCCTCCGCGACGACGGTCAGCCCGGTCTCGGGAACGTTGAGGTATTCGACATAATCCGCCAGGTTCTCGAGCGCGTTGGCCTCGAGGGTGGCTTCCTCGACATTGCATTTGTTGGCATACTCGATGTAGTCGAGGTTGGCTTCGTTTTCGCGGATCGAGGTCGCGGTCAGTTCGTTCTCCGAGGTGACTACAAGGGGCACTTTCAGGGGATGGTTGATGTAACGTTCGTACTCTTCGGCTTCCGCGGCGGTGACGGTGGGGTTTAGGGAGTCGTGCACGAGCTGGCCCAGGGTCCATTGAGCGATTTGCGCTTTACTGGGCGCGGCGCCGGGCTCCAGGGAGGACTGGAGGGAAGCGGTAGTTTGTGAAGGCGTTCCGAAAGACGTGTATGTGGGTTGTTTCATGATTCCTGCGGCCGGAAGCTGTTTGTCCGCGGAAAGGGGTTGGTTCAACCAACGCCGGTTGGATTGCGAGGTTGTGGAGTTGGAACGGCCGATTGCTGTCTTGTCAGGTTCCTGGATTTTGACTGTTCGGTGGGTCTGACGTTCACGGTTCACCGGTTCATGTGGAATTCTGGTCACGAACGGGCTTATGTCGTAGGGAGCACCGGATCCAGGGCGGAAAGGTAGGTACCGGAGGGTGGAGTTCATCTTGTAGGAAAACACCTTGGAGAATGATGACACTGCTAGCGGGCGATAGTACTCGAGCCAATAGTCGTCATAGTGCGACAACGGTTCCTTGAGCGGCTTAGGAGGGGGCGGCAATTCAAACTTCTTCAAGTTGTCCGGATTGTACCAGTTGATATAGTGAGGACGCTTTTTGTTTGCCCATGACCTTGGATTGGCATGATGCAAGTAATAGTCGGTGGACAGGTCCCACAACATTGGCTGTCCCTGGGAGAAGATATAGTTGCCAAGAAAGAGATTGTATGCTTCCTGGCGTTGAGCATCAAGGAAGGAATTGTTGTAGTAACGCTTGAAACTCTCGACCATGTCTCGCGAGTGACTGCTCCACTGATTAATCTTGCGGTAGGTTGCCATGGTGTTGACCAGATGAGAGCCTCCGTATTGAATCGCGATGGTGTCACCGTGATCGTGCCACATATCAGTGAACAGATTGACAGCGTCCGAATCGTACTCCACTGTTGTTCCGTCGATGATTCCCAAAGCGTGGAGCTGATGGCCCAGCGCGCGTTTTCCGATCACAAACTGAGCAGCATTCGTACGATCAAGACAGTCGATACAGTTGGTCCTCGCTACTCCGTTCTGCAGCTGAAGCCCAGACTCGGCATCAACACCGTTCTGGAAGAATCCAGTCTTTGGGATAATGTCCCCGGCAATATCCTCGAGTGTCCCGATAACATCTTGATCGCGACTTTTCGCAGCGCGACTCATGTCCCAAGGTTGATAAATGATCTTCTTATCCTCAGGAAGGAACTGATTGAGATACTGAATGGCATTGGTGTATTCCTTGAGAAGTTTCGACTCGCGTGGGGTCCGTTCTCGAGCTTTGATCAAGTTCAATGCGTAGACTGGAGCACCGTATCTTTCAAACAGATTGTCGAAATGCAAAGCCGCAGCAGAGTAGAACGGGTCAACCAGATTCAGCTCAATGTCTGGCTTGGGGGAAACACCGGAGTTCTCCTGAGTCCAATAGAGCGGGATACTGCCACGATGCTGGACGTATGACGTATAGAGCGGATTAGCGTAGAGCAGCGGACCAGGCGCATGGAACGACGTAGCCGCCATGTCAGAGACAATTTGCTCAGTTTCGACGTCATTGGCCACATATCCCAGGTCATTCGCTCCTCTTTTCAGAAAACGAGCGCCAGCAAAGAACCGAGAACGACGGGCAATAATGGTTATGTACACAATCCGCCCGTAGATTGAAAGTTTGGCCTGTTCGACATAGCCATGGATGATCGGAAGACACCACTCCCAAGGGTTGCGTAACTTGGTAAGAGCCGGGGTGAGAAGATGGTGATTCCAGATGAACATGGGATTGTAATCCTGCTGGAATGACTTGGGCTGTCCCTCATGATGAGCTTTGCGCTCCCGGCAGATATTGCGCTGCAAAGTATGGGTAATGTCGTAAGAGTAACTGAAGTAGAACGACCGGGTCAAGTCAAGGTTATTCAGGATCGCAATGTACCTTGCCTCCTCAGGATTCTTCTCCGGTCGCAGGCGAGATGAGCTGGATGTCGTCAACGAGATCAATTCAGTTCCATCAATCTGATAGACGTAGTGACCGCCGAGCATGGCAACCTGACTTCTCTTCGTCACTAGGAGCATGTAATAAGCATCCGTAAAGCGAATGAATCCCAGCATAGCCCAGGCGCTGCATTTAAGCTTTAGTCCGCCCGAGCTCTTATTGCCGTCGTCGATGGTATCCAACAGCTGGCTCATCTCCCGCTTGCTGTACACGATGTCATCCTCGGAGATGATCAGCTCGCCCGACTCAGAGGTCCGATCGATCTTCATGATCCGGAAGCGGGTGTCCGACAAGTCCATGCCGACCATGTAGAAGCGGGTGGCTGTCTCGTAGAGCGAGAATTTGTGCATGCGGTTGATCCCCTCTTCGCCGCCCGTGTCGAAAAACGCAGATCGCTGCTTTTGTGCCGACGTGGGCGTCGAGTCCCGCTCGAAGGAGGTTGCAACCTGCGGCTCTTCATCTTCAGCTTCCTCGCCCTCCTCGCTCATAGGGGCTGTGGGAGCTGATGGGGCGCTGAAGGGCAGCGAGGGGAACGGTGAGGCCGCGCGGGGGGACTTTCGATCGTCTTCCAAGTCGAGAAGGCTCCGCAACGCTGACTCGGGCTGGTCGCCAGCCAGCTTGCTGCTCGAGCCAGAGGTAAAGGAGGTGTCTGCATAAGGAAAATTGAAGTCAGTCGGAGAGTCTGGAGAGCTGCTACCATCCCGAGATGCTCTGGAAGAACGGCCGCCATCAAGACGACCAACACTGCGCTCTTCGGCCGCATCGCGGGGGATGGAAATCCCATCAAGGCTCTCCATGATGACAGCTGAAGTTCATGGAAGCCCGTTCCAGAAAATCAGAGGCGTGCAATCTCAAGAGGCCATGACAGTCCTTCCAAAAGCCACGACCATTCAGTGGCTGAGGTTCTGGCGGTCGAGGTGATTTTAGCTGGCTTGTGTCTGGGGCAACATACCGGTAACTTTGGTATTGAGATTACCCATCGCTGCCGGTGGTGACGTCACTCACTGCTTCCTGTCGGAGTACGTGATGCTGTATGGAAGCACGTGATCTCGTATATGGGTAGATGGCAGACAGGAGTTCTTGTCCTGAACACACAATTCCACTGCCTGGAACAAAATTAGAACCAGGTTGACATCTTACATGACCGCTCTATCTGTGTTACTCTTGCCACTGCTTCTTTGGTGTGTATTGGGGAAAGGAGACTTAGATGTTTGCTCAGTCATTGGCACTCCGTTTGAAAGGAGACACCTAATCTATCAAACAAAGTAGCTCCGGCAACAAGTCTTGTCTGCAAAGACCAGGTAGCTGTAGTAGGCTCTAGGTTACTCTCGCAGCTGGCTACGGCTACAAGTGAAATCAGGCTATTCCTATCTTCATTGCTGCCCGCCTTCTCTTCTCCATGACCTTGACTTCTCAGTTCTGCACGGGACAGTCAATCACGATTACTTACCTGCATATCTTCTAGTGTATAAAGTGACAGACGAAACAAGCCAGTGAGTTCAAGCTCGAGGACCGCAAGTAAGGAAATCGAAGTCTCCATTATGGCGATGCGGCTTGCGGACAGGCGTCTACAAACGGCGAAGATCATACCTAGAACTTCATCTCTTGTAAGGTACTCACACCTCTGGACGTTCAATCGTTGCGAAAAGTAGCCATGGTGCGTATGAAACACCTCTCAGATTTGGAAGATCATTCTGATAGCTTCCAAGTAAATTGAGTCGCGCGGTGACCTCCTGTAGCGTACCAAGTCAACCAACCAGCTCGAGTCCTCTTGCAACGAAGCCCCAGAGCTCTCAATTGAAATATAGTTTGCTTTTCCATACACAAAGCATGTTGATCTTCTGCCAGCTTATTCCAACAGGCACACATGTATATGTTCTCCCCTGGCTGTCCGCCGTGTCTCCGTGTTGCTCCAGTGTCTGTTGTTATATTCTGCAGTGCCATTCGCTTCTTTGTCGCAGCCAGGGTGAAATGAAGAGATATCGAACAATTCTCATTCCATGCTCCTTGTTTTCCGAATCACCAGAAGACCAAGTGATGAGTAGTTGGTCCCCCATCTCGTTATCGCTCAAAGGATTTGAACTTATTGAATTATTAGCCATTAAACATCCCAAGCTTTTCATAAACAAGAATAAACTTACCCGGTGACAATGCCATGGGATCGGCACTCCGCAACAAATACTTTCCCATCTATAAGCACGAAGTAATGCAAGGAGAGCTCCTCCGCATCTCGCCCACCCGCCCCCAAGCCCGCTCTTACCCCAAATTCCCCAACTCGGCACCCGCGCGGGGAAAGCAACTCCCCCGAGACCCAACAAAGTAATTCTCCCCGCGCTCTACGGCCGGCCATTCTTACTATCCCACTGCACATATCCTACATTTCACAAAAGCACGCAATGCAACACAGAATAACGGAACAAAGCAGCTTCGATGCCAGCTCGATGGTATAAATAAGCTTCCCTGGGGACATGGCTCTGTCACCCCGGGTCCTCAATTGTCTTCTTCTATAGCTTGCCCAACCAACCCTCAAACCGACCAACCACCGACCGCCATGACAGAAGCAATAACTCACATCGTCCTCTTCAAGTACAAACCCTCCATAACATGGAGCGAGTTCGAAGAGCACTTCGCCGTCTTCCTCGCGCTGAAGGACAAGTGCAAGAAGCCGGACACCGGGCGGCCTTACATGAAGAGTATGAAAGCAGGTGCGTGGTGTGTTTTGTTTTGGCCAATATCCAGACGTCTGCGGCGGGGAAATGCTAAAACTATAGTTTGTGAAAAACCTTTCAAGGCAAGAATCGCAGCTGGGAGCCGTTCAGCAAAGGAATGACACATGGGTTCGTCCTGGAGTTCGAGAATCAGGCCGATCTCGACTACTATCTGACCGAGGATCCGGTGCATTTGAAGTTTTCGAAGAAGGCGGCGCCGTTGATGTATGTTTTGGGCATGTCGACATGCTTTGGATACGGCGTGACTGACGAATGTCTGCAGAGAAGATTCAGTCGTTATCGGTAAGCCCGGCAACCAACCCCCATCAATTTCGCCAATGTATCTAAACTGGCCAAATACAAAGACATCCGAGACGGCGTCCTCTTCGGGCCCCCAGCGAAGAAACCCACCGTCGGAGCGGGCACGTTCCACGGGAGCTGCCATTGCGGTGACTGCTCCTGGACGGCCGAGATAACCGAGCCGGAACACATCCTCTGCCACTGCGAGACGTGTCGTAAACTCGGGGGTGGGCCTTATTCCATGAATCAGATCATCCACAAGGTGTGTTACCGTTACGTATCACCCCGCAGCGCACACGCGCGCAAAAGCCATCCTACCATACACAATAGCGTAAGTGAAGACAAAGCTAATCTCTAGGACGATGGTGATGATGGCGACGACAGGATCAACTGCGAATCCTCTCCGGAAAACCCAGCACGTATACCTACACCGGAGCCTCCGGAAACCCCGTCCACTGCTACTTCTGCCCCAATTGCACCTCCCACATCTACCATCATCAGGCCGTCATGGGAGACCAGATCATCATCAGAACCATCTTGCTCGACAACGGCGCGCGTATGCCCCCCGCCGGGGAGATCTTCGCGGAAGGGAAGTTGGCGTGGGTTGATGCGCTTCGGGCGGAGCTTGAGAAGCGATAACGCTGGGTTGAACAGCTGATTATTCAATTCATGTTATATTTGTCTTGTTTGGTGAGCATATTTGTATTACATGTGCGTGTAACTATGGTTAGATGTTCGATAGGAACAGAATATAGAAATCTGAGATTTTGCTGTCATTGGGTGTATATATTCGGAGAAGTTGGTATGTGGTTATTTGACAGAGATTATAGTAGAATAGTTAATAGTAGATGCTATTTAAGGAGAATGTTCAACGCTATGCGCTAAATGCAGGGTATACTTACTCTAAACCGATCGATAGACCTGTGCGTATGCCGTCGGATCGATTGCAGCATAAGAGATACCACATCAATACGACTCCGGGTGCACAGTGGCAAGGATCTCTCGCAGGCACTTCTGGATGACCTCACACCGCCAGCGTTGCCGAGGGTTGGGATCCAGCATACCTCCAATGCAGCTCGCCAAGGCTTCAGCCACCGTTTTTCCATTTTTCAACTTCACATCGCCCATGTGAACTTTGTCCATGAAGTCTCGGGGCAGGCATGCTCCGTTGATGGATGCGGTCGGCGGCTTCTTGTACGGGCCCCTGGTCAGATCATCCAGCACGAGATGGCGCTCCATCTTCGTGTTCAGAGGATAGAGCAGCTCGAAAAGAATGATACCCAAGGAATAAACGTCAAGCGACCAGTCGCAGACATATCGCATGGGCTGCTCCATCCCTACCTCCTGGGCGTATTGGTGAACACACCCGCTGGAGATCATCCCGCTCGAGTCGAGAGGTGGACGATAGAACTCTGTACCAACGATGTGGTGAATTTTCGAGCCGTGCTCTGAGGACTGAGGCGAGCCGTCAGATGAAGGATCGTTCAGATGCGAGATGTCAGCCACGAGGCCGAAGTCGCCGATGCGGGGCTGGCAGTAATGAAGTCCCGGCCCGCCGTCGGATTGACAGGGATGACAACAAGTGTGGGTGTGGTGTTTCTCCGGACAAGAGAGGAAGATGTTGGCCGGTTTGAGGTCGCGGTGGATGATGTCCTTTGAATGCAGGTAAAGCACACCGGAAAGAATGTCCACCATCAGTTGCAAGGAGGGAACCAAGTGAAAGCAGTGGCGACGCCGTGGCTTCCCCGAGTCATTTGCATGTGTGCTGGGTCGCGGGTTAAGATATGCGTGGAGAGATATCGGATGCATCGACATCTGGATATGCAAGATCACCACAGGAATCTCAAGACCCCTTCCACGGGTGCGTTGAAGTTGCATGCTCGAAGGATTGTGACTGAGGCCGTCTGTGAAGATATCTTCATCAGCGCTGCGAAGCGAGCTAGGCTGGTCCTGAGAGATATTGTTGGAGATCGAGGGGCCAGCCGAGATGTCGTCGTCTTCGTCGTCCGTGCTTTCTCTAGAGGTGAACTTCGATGTAGAAGTAAGCGGCGGTTGGCCGGAAGCCGAGGTTTCAGACTCCTCAAAGACGATCGCCAGCTTTTTGTTCTGGCCCTCCGCCGTCGACATCTGCGGCGACATAAAATGATGTGACAGGTTCTGTTGCGTGGAATCCGAGTCAGTATCAGTCGACGCATTGAACAGGGAAAGATCGAGTTTGTGAAGACCAAGGTATTCAAGGAGTTTTACCTTTTCTGCCCAAGCGCCATAATACCGGACGATATTGGCATGGTCGAGTTTGGCAAGTGTCCGGATCTCTTTCAGGATTTCTCCCAAATGGTGCTTGTTTCCGCCTTCTAGTTGCGCGAGTCGTCGCCGACTGATAGGTATCTTCTTGATCGCATAGTCGTGTTCATCGACATGATTTTTCACGTGGTAGACCTCCCCGAAGGCGCCCCGACCTAGAACACTGATCTCAGTGAACTGTAACGCGTAGCGCGATATCTCTTCACCACACGAGTTAGTAAGATCGTCGTAAAGAGACGGGCGGGATTCCGTACCCAGAAAAGGAGCCAGATGCGGGCTGAATAGGTGGTCAATGTTAGGCTTCTGCATTGAACTAAGAGAGTTGGCCTTTTGTCTGAGTTGCGTGTAGTCCGAACGACCTTTATGGAGTGTCAATTCACTAGAGGTCTTCGGCAAAGGGGCCCGGGCCCCAACAGAGGCTGATCTAGGTTGACGATCGTGCAAGTCGAGGCGGTTAAAGGAACGGCTAGCAATCAAATCCAGCGTATCTCGATAGAGCTGTCTTGTGGGCCTTAAGGCTTCCTTCTCTGCACCTTCGTTCACAATTCCATGCTGGGAGAGGACTTCCGATTGATGAGTGTACATATCATGCCCGAGAGCTATAACCTCGGGAGAATCCCGCGTGTACTGCCCGTGGGAGCCTGGCTGCGCGTTAAGTAAATCCGCGGCTCGAGTGAGACAATAGAACTCGAGAAGAGCAGCGGTCATCATCTTTCCATGACCATCAACATCGGTGCTGTCTCCTACTGACGTAGGCGACAAAACGCCCTTCTTCTTCGGCTGATGTCGCTGCTTAGAGCGGACCTCAGGATGAGGGCCCGAGATATGAAGCTCTTGGACCTCCTCATCTGAACTAGAAGACGATGAGATCTCCGAGGGTTTTCTAAACATCGACATGATGACAGAAATTCAACAAAAGACGGGAAATAGCCGCTCCGATGCCACGCCAAATCAAGGTGGGATGGGTATAGTTGGCCAACCAGTGACCAATTGACTGAACGATAAGTTTAACAGGTATAAACAAAACGACTGCCGTGACTATCCTGTGTCCGGTTAGCAAGAATGCCATGAGAAGCGGAGAAGCAGATTCCTCACTCAGTAGCAAAACTGGATTTATATAGGCTCTGAGACAGAGCAAATTAATTATACAGATCTCTTTAAGCCGAGCGCAGCTGCGAAAAATCCCACGATATGGCTTTGAACGCAATTGGAGAATACCGCCTATGTTCAATTAGAGGAATGGCTCCGCTCTGCCCTTTCGTGAAATCATGAAAGGTTCCATCAGATTCCAAAGAAAAATGCCATTGAGAAAAGCGCCAACCGAGGAGGTTGCATTTAACCCCCAAGTGTGCAATACACGATACACGAGGAGATGAACTGCTGAAAGTGACACAGAATGATATGAACACGATAGTCACAAAGTTTGTATGACGATAGAAGCGGAAATACAATTGTATGCAGGATCCAGCCAGGTTGGGTTGGCGCGAAGTGGGGTGGGGTTCGAGGGCGAGGGAGCAAGAGAGAGAGACAGAGAGAGAGAGAATTGTCAATAGCATTGAGTCACTCACTCCTTGGAGGGGCACCGGCATCCCGCGTTCTCTGCCTCAGGCAATCACGGCTCTCCATTGCCACTCATCATCCCTGGCCGACCTCGGCCGCAACAACAACCCTTCCAAGTTTCACACCACGCCCTTCAAATGTAGCTGGAGCATAGGCTAGTGCTTTGGATCTCCGAGTATTGACCGGAAATGGTATCGTACCACACCTCACCGGTGCAAAGCGGCTCTGAAGGCGGATAAATGTGGGGATGGATTGGGCAAGAAGCCTGCTAGCACTGGTCACTATAGCACAGTGGGGGTAGACAACTATACGAAACCGACTGATCTAGGACAGATGCGCCGAGACACACGCGCGGCGAGCTTGGCTGGCTTGGCTCTGCTGGATCATATATAGGCTACAAGCCACTGCCCTTAGGCATGATCTCTGGACACGCAGCACAACTCAAATTTTGACCAAGATGCAAGCCTCACACACCGCAGACATCGCCGTTATCGGCGCTGGTATCGTGGGTTCGGCCCTGGGATACTTCCTATCTTCCTCCGGAGACGTGGGCAAAAAGATAATGTTGATTGATCGTTCTTTTGCACCCTTGAAGGGTTCCACTGGCCATGCACCTGGATTTGTTGGCCAGTACAACGAATCGGAGGTCTTGACCCGTCTGGCTCAGGATACGGTCCATGAGTACAGAAAGATCCCTGGTGGATTCGACGTGGTTGGGGGCCTCGAGCTCGCGACTAGCCCTGCAGGAGCGGAGCGTCTGAAACAGCGACATGACTCCGCCAAAAGAGCTGGTCTCCAAGCTGAGCTAATCTCGTCCGAACAAGCAACCAAAATGGCTCCTGCCTTGATCAAGGGAGAGTACATTGCCGCGTTGCACTTCGCCGGCGATGGTGCTGCGAACGCCATCAGGATCACCACCTTCTTCCAAGATGAGGCACGGGCGAGGGGTGTGCAACTCCTTCAAGCGGATGCCACGAAGGTTCAACAAGCCAACGGCCAGGTGGAGGGTGTGATGACTACGGCTGGATTTGTCCAGGCAAAGACGGTCATCATTGCGACTGGCATCTGGGCCCCCGAGCTCTGCAGCTTCAAGACTCCCATTCCTATTGTCCCTGTCGCGCATCCCTATATGTACGGCAGATACCATGAGTTGAGCGAACGCAAAGCCCCTTGGGTCAGATGGCCTGAACACCACGTTTATGCCCGTGATCACGGTACCTTTTATGGGCTAGGCTCCTACGACCACCCGCCACATGCGCAGCAGCCGACCGAGACGGCCATCGGAGACTGGATTGAAGATTTCAGCGCAACATTGGATACCGCTATGAAGTTCATCCCGGAGTCGACAAATCTGGAGGTTAGGGAGAAGTTCAACGGTATCTTCTCGATGACGCCGGACAATATGCCACTGGTGGGAGCTGTTGCTGAGGTGGCTGGGCTGTACATGGCTGCAGCTGTTTGGGTGACTCATGCAGCTGGGTCGGCCAAATTCTTGACTCGGCTGTTGAAGGGAGAGGCTGTTGATGATACCTTGAAGGAAGCTTTGGATCCCAACAGATTCCAGGGACGGGAGATGAAGGAGTTGACACAGGAGTCTTTAAATGGGTACAACCATATCTATAAGACCGTTGCAAGCTCCGAATGAGCCACGGATTCTCGGTGTATGATAATGATTTCGGGGCATATCACCAACAATGATACTTTCTCCCAATCGCAAATATCCGTACGTATTCAGAGCTTCGCACGGTTGTCCGAGGAACCTTTGTACTGAATAGCGAAGCTATAAGCTGGGTCATAATGCATGTCCCAATACTTATCCCATATCATTCTTGTCAGCGGCCCAACCTTCCCATCACCGACCCTCCGACCCTCCAAGGTTGTGATGGGCATGATTCCTCCAGCAGTCGTGCACATGAAGATCTCATCAGCCTGATAAGCCAGATCGACTGGCGTAGGCTCCAAGCGAACCGTAACTCCCATTCCTCGCGCTATCTCCATAACACTCTTCCGCGTGACCCCATGCAACACCCCTCGATCAGGAGTATAGATCACCCCATCCTTAACCAGAACGATATTATACCCTGATCCCTCAGTAAGATGCGCATCCCCGTCCGTCAAGAACGGATACGTCGCCCCTCGATCCGCCGCCTCCAGCGTCCCACGAACCAAATCCCCCCATTGCAGATTCTTGACTGTCGGATCAATTGCTCCGGGTGGGACACGTCGTACTGTGCGTGCGACAACCGCATGCCCGCCCGTGTGCTGCACCTCGGGCTCCATCACCCAGACATACGGCTTGATGAATAGATACAGATTATTTGTGAGGCTGAAGGGGTCTTTGCTACCCCTGATGCCTTGCAGACCGCGCGTGACAATAAGCTCGACGTATGCGTCGCGAAGATCGCTGCGGTTCACCATATCGATAAGAATGCGCTTGATCTTGTCTCGTGGAATAGGCAGCCTCATGCGTAGTTTCGCACAGCTGAGCTCTAACCGCGAAAGATGGTCGTCCAGGCGGAAGAAGCGCCCGTCCCAGACGGCGGGGACGTCGTAGGTCAGGTCGCCGTGGAGGAAGCCTTCGTCGAGCAAGGGAATGTGAGCTTCATGTAGCGGAATGAGATTGCCTTCGATCCAGGCGATGCCTTGAGTAAAAGGGTTGCTGGTAATGGCCTCGAGGGCGGCTTTGCGGGCGGAGTAGCCGGCGAATATTTTATCCATGGTGGCCATTATGGTGGACGCGAGGAGAATGACTATATGATCGTCAAGTGTCTGGATGTCGTTGGATTCAATCTGGATGCACTGATGGTGTGCTGTTGACGGGTCTCGAAAAGAGGGGAATGGATGTGAGGGGAACGCAAGACTTATAAGAGTTGCATATCAGTGCAGATGCCATGCTTATCTCTCGCTCCTCACTCGCTGATCTCCTCACAGTGACTAACCCAGCACGTGGGAGGAATTCATTCCATGAAGTCAAAGAAAAGTCTTGTCAAACTGGTTGGAATGGGCTTGTCAGACCATGGATAGAATGATGTATAGTAATCTGTTGTGAAGCGCAGCTTGCTCTGCTTGCATTTCGAACATTGGAATTCTACAGAGCCTGGTATCTGGGTCGGTGTACCTAATAAGACACGGAATAAATCAAGATATGTTCTTTCATAGAGTTGTAGGTGCATACAAACCTGTTATGCGCGTAGGGAGCCAAGTGATGTCCTCATGGTGTCAAGCCGCGAAGGTTAAATTGGGCCACTCCAGACTCTGCTGCAACCCGCCCACAGACCGCGCAATGGCTTTCAAAGGGCGTCCAATAGTCATATTATATGCTGTCATCAATTGCTCCGCTGCATTCTCACTGCGCCAGCTCTAGCCTGTTCTGGTAGTGACACGATGTCGCTCAGAGAAGCCAAATTGACTTTGCGAAGGCAGGTCTAGGGAGAAGTGCTCCGCTTGAGCGGACGAAAGCTGGCAGGGCGCCGTCTCGCCATTTCCCTCACAGTATAGTACCTTATTTTTCGAGTAAGCTCACATCGGATGTGCCTTTTCCGTCGAAGCGGCTTGCATATCGCACGGACTCAGTTACTGGGAACAATTGGCTATTGCCAGCCATATGACTCACAACTTTGTTGTTGCGGATGTAGTTGCGCAGAAGGATAGAGGGCAGCCATCAGCTATTGGATCATGCAAGAAAAGCTACAGGTCTGAGAAAGAGGTATAAATAAGGCCTTGAACACCCCCAATGCTTCGATGACCACTATGAACCTTGTTACTTGAATGCTAATCATGGCTTCCCAAGCGAGCAATCACCCACTTAAACATGTCTCCCCACACATATTGTCGCTGCTTTCCAGACTACACAATAATTCCGCCGCACAGGAAGCCCACATGACTTGGGATGACTTCGAACCCGAAAGCGTCGATCAGAAAATGCGAGACAAGTTCGTTGCCATCGAACAAGATAAAGCCTTCTTTCTCTACCAAATGGGCCTTGCAACTGGCGCTAAGACTATAGTCGAGGCTGGCACATCCTACGGGGTGAGCACCATCTATCTCGCCCTGGCCGTTGCATCCAATGTCGAAGTTACGGGTGGCCCAGGAAGAGTCATCGCAACGGAGCATGAGCCCGAGAAAGCCAAGAAGGCTCGAGAGCATTGGAATGCGTGCGGTAGCTCTGTCAGCGAAATCATCGAGCTGCGAGAGGGTGATATCAGAGAGACTTTGAAACACGACTTGGGAACGGTAGACATGCTACTGTTGGATAGTGAGTGATATGGGACCCTGAAACAGTCTAGGCTTGTGCTGATAGTGACAGTCTGGGGCCCGATGCTGCTTCCAGCCCTGAAATTGGTCCAGCCGGCACTGAGACCGGGTGCTGTCATCATTACGGACAACACGATTAGTGCTGCAGAACATTGCAAAGAACTCCTTGACTACATGCGTGCGCCTGGAAGTGATTTTCGGAATCTTACACTCCCGTTCAACAATGGACTCGAGATGAGCGTATATCAGCCGCAAGGGTAATAGTGACGGTATGGGAAGAATAGATTGTTGGGAAGGCAGCCAGCAGTGGTGTATAGGAGGACAAGGCGCCGATTGAGTCGTACTGACCTGGGTGGAACCGTGTATGAAGCTGTCCTTCAAACAAGGCCTTCTTAGCGAAGAACTGCGATCTCCATTAGAAGGTGGCCAAAGACGAGTTGTAGTGTAGAAGCACAAAAGGCGCTTGTGCCATTCCATATAACCAAAATGAATCCGTTCCTACAGCCGAACCTGCTATTTATTGAAGCTACTCCGTACAAGCAATATGATCGCTACTGAGTAATCCCTAGGAGGGCCTCAGGTTTGTAACAGCACAGAAAGGCAGATTATAACACCCCACAGTTCGACATGTAGCCATGGGGGCAACGAAGCCGGAGATAATGCGGAGTCGATCTTCATTCCCCCAGCCATATCATCACGTGACATTCCCACTCAACGCGTAACTAGCGGGTGTCACGTCACGGCGCGAACAAGACACGAACTTTCATTAATTGGAGCGCAGTTGGTTTCCCGCGACACCAGCATTGCCGCCCCAAACCTCCCGACCAACAAGCATTTCATTTCTACTCTGCGCTTCGGTCAAGGACATCTGCATTTTTCTCTCGTGATATATGAGCAGTCACAATGCCTGAAGCCGTCACCATGCCCCAGAAGCGGGTTCTGGGCGAGGCAACAAACAACCCTCGCAGCAGCGGTCTAAAGTCACCAACTGCGCTGAAGAAACGCAAGCTTGAAAATGGACCATCTTTCAGAAGCAGTCAGGGCATCCAGGCCCAGCGAAAAGTTCCCGGCTCTAGTCAGCCACAAAAGAGCCAGTTCGAGGAGGAAGTTCTCGAGAAGTTGACCCAGGACATGAATGGGTTGAAGCAAAACAATTCAGAAAAGGATCAGCAGTGGGAGCGACCGCCGCTCGGTGAGTTTGATGCTTCGAAGGATAGTATCTGTTTCCAACAGATCGATGCGGAGGAGGGTGCAATCCACGGAGGGAAGACCGCGGTTCGCCTTTTTGGTATCACAGAGGTATGGTCGCGCAGTTGTTCTTCTCTCTGATGTTTGCTTATGTCCTTACTAGGCCGGTCAATCCGTTCTGCTCCATGTCACTGGTTTCCAACATTATCTATATATCGCGGCACCTGTCAACTTCACGAAAGATGATTGCGAGCCCTACCGAGCGTTCCTCGAAAGCCGGATCGGACAGTTTCAGCCCACAATTCAGTCGGTACAAATAACGATGAGGGAAAACATTTATGGCTTCCAAGGCAATCAGAAAAGCTACTATCTCAAGATCACTGTCACGGAACCCAAGCACATCAGCAGATTGCGCGGAGCCTTGGAGAGCGGAGGTGCGCAGAGTCTCAACTACAAGGGACTCTGGAATAACTCAGATGGTGGTATCCTCACATTCGACAACATCCAATACCTCCTCCGATTTATGATTGATGTGGACATCTCTGGCATGTCATGGGTTGAGGCAAAGGCCGGAAAGTACCGGCTGTTCGGTCCTCGTGAGAAGATGTCGAACTGTCAGATTGAAGCGAGTATAGATTATCGCGATCTGATCTCGCATCATCCCACCGGCGAGTGGGCTAAGATGGCACCCCTTCGCATTCTTTCTTTCGATATTGAGTGCGCTGGTCGTAAGGGAATCTTCCCGGAACCGAATCACGACCCCGTCATCCAGATTGCGAATGTTGTTACTCGTTACGGAGAGTCGAAGCCTTTCATTCGCAATGTCTTCGTCTTGGATACATGCAGTCTTATCGTCAACACTCAGGTTTTGGAGTTCCAGGATGAGTCCAAGATGCTCATGGCCTGGCGCGACTTTGTGGAGAAAGTAGATCCAGACGTCATTATTGGATATAACATAGCCAACTTCGACTTTCCATATCTTCTGGACCGTGCCAAACATCTGAAGTGTACTGGTTTCCCTTATTGGACTCGACTCAATGGGGTGATGTCCCAAGCCAAGGAAACAAACTTTTCCAGCAAACAAATGGGTAACCGTGACACGAAATCGACAAACACCAATGGGAGAATCCAATTAGATCTTCTCCAGCTGGTACAGAGAGATCATCATCTGCGAAGTTATACACTTAACTCCGTTTCCTACGAGTTTCTGGGAGAACAAAAGGAAGATGTGCATCACACGATGATCACCGAGCTATATAACGGCACGCCAGATTCCAGGCGACGTTTAGCGGTTTACTGTTTGAAGGATGCCTATTTGCCCCAGAGACTGATGGACAAGCTAATGTGTTTGGTCAACTATACTGAAATGGCAAGAGTCACAGGTGTTCCTTTCAACTTTTTGTTGTCACGAGGTCAACAAGTCAAGTTCATCAGTCAGCTCTTCCGTAAGGCCCTGGAGCAACAGCTTGTCATCCCCAATATGAAATCCACAGATGAGCAGGATTATGAGGGTGCGACTGTCATTGAGCCTGTCAGAGGCTACTATGGTGTACCAATCGCTACTCTCGATTTCGCATCGCTATATCCTTCTATTATCCAAGCGCACAACCTTTGCTACACCACACTACTGAACAAGAGCAGTGTAGAGCGGCTCAAACTCAAAAAGGACGAAGACTATATTGTGACACCAAATGGAGATATGTTCGCTACAGCCAACGTTCGCAAAGGTCTTCTATCGCAAATTCTCGAGGAGTTATTGACAGCTAGAAAGCGGGCCAAGAAGGAACTTGCGGTAGAGACTGATCCGTTCAAGAAGGCAGTGTTGAATGGAAGACAGCTTGCTCTGAAGATCAGTGCGAACAGTGTTTACGGTCTTACGGGTGCAACTGTCGGAAAATTGCCATGCTTGGCTATCGCCAGTAGCACGACTAGTTATGGACGTCAGATGATCGAGAAAACGAAGCAGGAAGTCGAAGCCAGATACACCATTGCAAATGGTTATTCCCATGATGCCAAGGTCATTTACGGAGACACTGATTCTGTTATGGTCAAATTCGGCGTGGATTCTCTGGAAGAAGCAATGAAGCTTGGACAAGAGGCGTCTGAGTATGTCTCTTCGAAGTTCTTGAAACCCATCAAGCTTGAATTCGAAAAGGTCTATTTCCCTTACCTTCTTATCAACAAGAAGCGGTATGCCGGTCTGTATTGGACGAATCCCAAGAAGTACGACAAGATGGATACCAAGGGTATCGAGACTGTCCGTCGTGACAATTGCTTGTTGGTACAAAACGTCATCGAGACAGTGTTGCATAAAATCCTCATTGACAGAGACATTGATGGCGCTCAAGAGTAAGGATTCGATTTCCCCTGTTACAATCATCTTGCTAATTTCCCCACAGCTATGTCAAGGACACTATCTCGGATCTTCTGCAGAACAAAATCGATATGTCTAAATTGGTGATTACGAAAGCCCTTTCTAAGGATGCATACACAGCAAAGCAGGCACACGTGGAGCTTGCGGAGCGCATGAGGAAGCGTGATGCAGGTTCTGCACCTACACTTGGAGATCGTGTCGCATACGTCATTGTGAAGGGTGCTGGTGGCTCGAAGAACTACGAGCGATCTGAAGACCCCATCTATGTCTTGGAGAACAATATCCCCATCGACACCAAGTATTACCTTGACAACCAGCTCGCCAATCCCCTCGGCCGTATTTTCGAGCCCATTCTTGGAGAGAAGAAGGCCAGTCAGCTTCTGACTGGCGAACACACCCGATCCATCTCTGTCGCGGCACCGACTATGGGAGGGTTGATGAAGTTTGCGAAGAAGACCCAAACCTGCTTGGGCTGCAAGAAACCCCTGTCAGGGAAAGAAGAAATGGCTGGTGCGGTGTGTGAGTACTGCCGTCCCCGCCTGGGTGAACTCTACACCAGATCTTTGAACAAGGTTTCGGACCTGGAGGTCCGCTTCGGGCGTCTGTGGACGCAATGTCAGCGGTGCCAGGGCAGTTTGCACTGTGAGGTCATCTGCTCGTCTCGCGACTGTCCTATTTTCTATATGCGTATGAAGGCGAAGAAGGATGTCGAAGACTCGCAGAAAGAGCTGGCTCGATTCGATTTTGATGCTGGTGCATGGTGATTGATGATATCTGGGTTTGATGTTTGTTACAGGGTTTGTATATCTACTTGATCGCTTGTTTGGACCTGGGAGCAACGGCGTATTGGAAAATGACTCGAAGTCATTGTCGTCTTTAGATAGCATCACAGCCTGTACGGCCCGTTTCTTTAGAGAATGAATAATTCTCATTGTATCCCTTAGCCACGATATGATCAAGCAGATTGGCATGGACTGAGATTCCAAGTTCAAGTTACTAAGAACCACGTAAAGGACGGTTGGGACGGCGGTTGGCTGGATCGGATAAATGTCCATAAATGGGTTAGTGCCTGAATCTTTCTTTCCATCTAGCGTCCTTGGTCATCCATTGCTCCTTCTTTCGTTTCCCTGACATGGAAGACGAAGTATATCGATTTAAGGCTTTTTGCTAGCCTTTTATTCAAGAGTCCAACCGTCTCGTGACTTCAAACATAGTCTGGTGGCTGTATATTTTGCTACACATGCCTCTTATCGCACGATGACAGCATGCAAGCCTCTCAGCGGCGACGAGACGGTTGCACCGAGTGCAGAAGGAAGAAAGTCAAAGTAGTCTCATCCTAATCAATTAAAGCCTGGAAAGCCCTGACTAACGATTACCTACAGTGCGACTTGCAGAAGCCTGTATGCACACGATGTCAGCATTATCCCAAAGGGTGCGTATACAATCTAAGTGTCGTTGGCCAGGCAGTCAAACCTCGCCCGGCGAAACAGCAGCTCAGTGCACCTCGCACAGGAGTTGCAATTGATAGACAGGACCAAATGGATGTTATCCAGAGCCTAGAGGCATTGGCCAATCAACCATCCCTTCATCTCTCGTCAGCCCTGTCATCCGAGCAATCCAGATTCTTCATGCACATCTTCGCCACGGAGACAGCACCCAGGCTGTTCCCTGCAGCGCCCGATCTGTTTCTACAGCGAATGATCAGTGCTTCGATGCAGACACCTCATCTTTTGTATGCGCTACTAGCCGCAGCCTGCAGCCATCACAGCCGGCTGATGCAGGATACAAGCTCGTCGTCCAAGATAGCGTGTCTGAAATTCACCAACCTTGCCATCTCCAGCCTGCGGTCGACGATCAGCGAGTCAAGCCAAAGATTACCTACTGAGACAGTCGCGACAGCAATGGCATTGTGCACAAATGACGTCTGTAACGGTAACATGCACGTCTGGAGGACACATCTCGGCGGAGTCAGGCAGCTGCTGAATACTTTCTTGGCGCAGGAGAAATCTCGCTGGGTACAGGATTCGTATATCCATTCGCTAGTCAAATGGTTCACGACGCTGAATCTGATAGCGAGCCTATCGGGGCAGAGCCATATAGGAATTACCTCCGAGGTCGCAAAGGAGCCTTTGAACGAGCTTCTTGGTCAGAGTTCCGGATACATCGATGATGTATGCGGTTATTCGCTGGAATTAGTCCCGTGTTTGACTCAATTATCCCACCTCATCCATCAACAAAGTATGACTGCGAGTACGTCAGACGATATGCTACAAGATGCGATGTTCTTGCAGCGAAGCCAGCTCCTTGAGAACGAACTCTTCATGCTACTTAACACTACTGTCTCCGACACAACCATGAAAAGCAAAGGAGAACTTGCTTTGGAGTTACAACATACCCATCGCGCCTTTGTTCACACCGCTCTACTGCACCTACACCGTCGTGTACAAAAGTTGCCGATCAGCCACCCGCAAGTCAGAGCCGACGTCGCAGGTATCATTTGTGCTGTCCAAGACATCCGCCCATTCTCGGCGGCGAATATCCTCATTCTCTGGCCTGTCTTCAGTGCTGGTTGTGAGACAGATATGCCTAGCGAGCGGTGCATCATTCAGGGAAGAATGGCCAACATGCAGAGTCTTGGAATGGGGAATTTCACGAGAGCTCGAGACTTGTTGAACCTTTTCTGGGCATCGAGGACGACTTTGCAATGGGACGCGTTTTTCGCACAGCTTGGGCTGGAGTTGGTCCTGTTCTAAGTGGACTACTTGTTCGGAACGAGAGGTATGTTGATATTTTGGGTACTGAATATAGCTTTCCTCGTGCCTCATGACCGAAAGGTATTACATGGATTACATTGCACAGCAAGGCCTTCACCCACTCACGCACATGCAATACAAAGAATGCTTGCTATTACACACAGCACGTGTACGATCTCGCCATTTACCTAGAACTACACCAATCACGCTCAGCCAAAAGACCCGTATCAAACGACACCTAGTAAAATCTCAATCCATTTTCGTCTATATTCATCAATTTATCTCGCTCCTATCCGGAACACGATCTTGCTGCATCACATCCAATTCCCAGGCCAGAACCTCAAACAACTGGCAATTTCTCATACTCCTCCCGCATAAACACTCTCCAAGCCGACAACCCACGCTCCAACACCTCCCTTTCAGGCACATAGCCGACGCGCACATAGCCCTTGAAATCGACACTCTCGCCAAAGCATCTACCCCCAGGCACTAACATAACGCCTGTTGTCTCCATCAGTCGCTCACAAAGCACTACGTCGTCAACAGGCCTTCCCTGCCGATCCACAAACTCGACAAACGCCGTCGTGCCCGCCTGCGGCCTCACCCATTGTACCGCCCAACTGAACTCCTTCAGAAACGTCTCAAGGATATCCAAGTTCGTTTTCGCAAGCTCCATATTCCTGGACAACAGATTTTCTACACACGGAGTACTCAACGCGCGCGTCGCAATCTCGTCATCAACCTGACTCACAGAGATAAGGGTATAATCACGACTCGAGGCACATGCCTCGATGAGATTTTGATTCCGGGACGCAATCCAACCGATCCGCAAACCTGCCAGACTGAAAGCCTTACTCATCGACCCCGTGGAGACAAGATTCTCATAGTCGAATTCCAAGATCGATGGCGGAGGGGTCTCTTCCTGAGGCAGGGAGTGGAATAGCGGGCGATAGACCTCATCACAATGGACGATAAGGTTATGTTCTCGGGCGATCTCGACGACACTGCGCAGGAATTCGCGGTGGAGGACCGCGCCCGTGGGATTTTGGGGATTACTTCGTCACAATGTTAACAACACACCTTCCTCTTCTGTTACATGGAGAGACGGGAGAACTCACTTGAGGATAATAACCTTCGTGTTGGGACGGATCAACCCCCGCAGCTCCTGCAAATCCAGAGCCCACCCATTCTCGGCCGAAGAGCGCCACAGGCTCACCTCGGCACCGAGCGACTCAGGCACCGAGTACAACTGCTGGTACGTCGGGTAGTGGCAGATAACATGGTCACCCGGCCCGACCTGCGTGTACAGGGCCAGGAAATTGGCATGGATGGCGCCGGTGGTTACAAGCACCTGCTCTGCGGTGATGCCTGCGGGAGATGCGCTCTGCTGCTGCTGCTGCTGCTCGTTACCTTGCAAGGCGACGCTGGAGCCTTGATATAGCTTCGCAATATTCGCTCGCAGCCCGGCGGATCCACGGATGGCGCCGTACGTCTGCTTGCGGAAGAGATCGATGAGTGGTGGGACGTCCGACGACGATGCGCCGGAAAATTGGAGGATGTCGTTCAACGAGATGGAGGCGCAGCATGTCTCTGCGAGGTTGTGCTGGGCATCGTTCTCGTAGAGGTCCATCCACTGTTGGCCATGTGCCGCTATCGTTAGTATGGGATGGTTCGAGGGCGAAAGGGAAAGTCATACCCGTTCGACGCTGAATTCTGCGAGTTTCACCATGGTAGCTTGGCTTGGAGATATTGTTCAATCAGGTAAGAGTGAGTTGCCAGATAGTTGACGATTGGAATTCCGAGTTGTGTGAAGATGGTGCTTTATATAAGTTTTTTACAGTCGATGTCCAGCTCCGTGGGCAGTCATGCTTCGGATGGTTGGGATGCTGTTGGAAGAGGTGATTGGCTGAATCGCCTACACTGCCGGATTGGGTTAGTTGGTCTATGGCGGAACTCATCTTCGTTATCGATAAGGCGCGCCACGGGCCTGTTGATAAGGCGCGCCCAAGTGGATCTGTAGCATAGCAGTAAAATCGCCAACTTTTTCTACAAAATTGAGTCATTAGAAGAATCTGGAAACTTGACTTGCTAAAGCACACTCCAGTGATAAATAAACTTACGCAGGGCTCCAGTCTAGAGGAAGTCAGGCAGCTCTGGTTACTATCTCAGGTTTATAACCACAGACTGGCAATGAGCCGATGGTATCTTACACAGTACTAAGAATATATATTTCCTTACGTTTTCCTCCACTAGGTGAGTTTCTACAATTGTTGAGTGTCTATCCCTTTCACTTACCAACAAGCATATCGGTGAAAATCATTTCAAGGCCAGTGAGAAAGATAAATTGTTAGTTGGAAGTCTTGTTCTTTGCTCTATATGCACCCAAATGAATCTACCATCTCTACACCTGTCCCCGCTCCACACCAACAACTTCCGTACACACAGTGGAATAGAGCATCCCAGCCCCCAAAGTCTTATAAGAACGCCATAGAAAGCTAACTGACTTCTTGGTAATCGCAGCTTACAGCAAATAATGACCATTTAACCATTACAAGAAATACCGCAGAATCTACATAAACCCGCAGTAGATTCAAAGTTATCTAGCAAGCAAGCTTACCACAAAACCCCGAGGAAAGTTTCCAAGTGTAAGCCTGATTATTGAAAATACGAGACCCCCGGGAACGCATATCCATCTCTAGATGATCCTTATGTTTTGTGCTTAATCGAAAAATGCGTCTACTATCCACAGCAGGATAACCCCTGCGAAACCAGAGTCAAGCCGGCAGGTCCGAATGTTTTTTGTGCGTGAAACCCAAAGCGCTGATTCTAGAGCCATTTGTTTGTACATTATTAGCCGGAAAAACCGAAAATCAGGACAAAGGTAGAATGAAAGAAAAGACTTACTGTTGATGTTCAAATTCCCAGAAATGTGAATGTAGATGTGTCGTTTGCGACACCAATATGTAGATGCCGAGAAGCACAGCACAGCATATTTTTTACTGTGCACTGTGCACTGCACGCATACTCTTCCATCGACTACTCCATTCACAAGCCTAAGAGAACACCGAGCGCCTCCGACACAACGCCCGCAGATCGTAGTTCGCCAGGTAGGGGCGCACGGGGTTATCGTAGTTGAGCATGCAGATGCGGGCCAGGTGGTCGGCGATGTGCTGGTCGAGCTGGCGCCAGCGCACCAGCGCCCAGCCGCGGCGGAAGATCGAGAGGATGTAGACGGGAATCGGCTCCAGGTCCAGCTCCACGGGGCGGTAGGTGCCGTTGTTGAGGTCGATGGCCAGGAAGGCGCGCCCGATGCGGATCTCGATGTGCAGGAAGCGGATGCGCTCGTTGGTCGCCCAGTCCGGGAAGATCTCGGCCACAAGGGCGCAGGCGGAGCCGCGGTAGTCGTGGGGTTCCAGGCGCTTGGTGTTGACGCGGATGATCACGCGTTTGGGCTCGTCGTCCTTGAGGAGCTCGTCGCGGATTTCGGCGGCGGTGCCGATGAAGGCCATCTTGGAGGATGGACAAGGATGTGGGGTGGGATAACGGATGGAGGTGAGAGGCGTGAGTTGGAAGAGGCTTTCAGGGTTCTGCTGGTGCTTGGTGGAGGATGAAGAAGTTGTGGATCGATGTAGAAGAAAGAATTTGTTTGGAGTGTTTTGACTGAATAGTGACCTCACTTGCAATCGATGTTACACTCTGAGAAGAAAAGTAACGCGAGTTGCAAAGGCGTCCCTTGACACAAGCAGGCAACTCTCTGTCATAGGCTGCAATAAGTTTGTTATACTATTAACCGCAATTGCTACTACCTTGTGCAAGTATTATTTATATCTTGCATGAAAGAGGAGTCGTTGTAAAATAAAAAGTGGACGGGCATATGAGGCCATGAATCTCAACTCCAAACCCAGGCCTTCAGTTCCTTATGGTTGGTCTAGCTTCTTAGTATGCAGATCATGCCTTCCCACAAACAAATTACATAGATCCCAACAACCCCGGGAAAGATGGATACTCCCCGGAAGGCGAAGTGTACAATCCCCCTGTGTCATCATATAGCGATGGCCACAGACCCATTGAGAGCAAATCCTCCTGAGGAAGGCTCTCTAGCTCTCCTACCATAGGTCTACCCTCCCAGCACAATGTACACCCGTTTGCATCATGCTTGTCTTCAGAGCACCAGGGGTAGACATTTGGTACATCTCTGTAACCTGTCCAAGGGTAGTCTTCAGTAACCATCTCCATCAACATCCGTAATATGTCCTTATTCACAATTATGACATGCAGCATAGGCAAACGGGACTTAATTGTTTGCCTTGCCTGTGTCGATAGTCCATTCCCTTCCACGCAGTCAGGGGTGTCTTGCACCGGAACCGAATCTGCGAGAAGGTCAAAGACGTCTCGCAGGATTTCAGCTTGTGTCCAGCGCTCAGATAGAACCGCAAGAATAACCGTGCATGTTCTAATGGCCTTGGTGATTTCTGAAAGTTGGATTGATGCCGGTCTTTCTGAGGGTGGTGTTGCCCAGAGGCAGTATAGCAAGATTATGCCTGTACCAAATTGACTCAAAAGCTGCGACGCGAACTGTCAGATTTGAAATGCTGCGTTGAGTTGACCGTATTCACTTACTCCAGGCCAAAGCTGCGCCGTCTGGCGTCTCTTGAGGTACATCCAAAATGTATGCAGAATGTTGGAGCATGCTGTGATACAGCGCTCGCTGACAAATCGGCAGAGATTCTCTTTGGTCGGCCGATATAATATAAGAATAGTATAATTATAGAGCATACCCACCCAACCTTCACTCGTATATCCTTCAGAGGCTGGGTCACTATGAGGTTGCAATTGCATTTTCCACTGATCAAGCGCTTCCAGCAGATGCAAGCGCCAGTTGTGATGTGCTGCAAAACGGTGTTCGTAGTCTGTGCGCATCATGATACCGAGAATTCGAGATTGGATCCTTCTGCCTCGAAGCAGATGCAACGCGGATGAGACCTGCGTTATGCGAGGCATTGATTCGGTCTCGTCCGGCCGTTCGCTCCTTGAGGCCCATGCTTTGATTTCGTCGTCATTTAGGTTCGCAAAAGGCTATTTCTACGATCAGTTTCGTATGACCAGAATTGAAAAAGCGACAATTGTACCTCGACTTGGATGTTCTCGTCAGCGAGGCTGCAGGGAACATGGTATATCCAGCTAAGTAGACGATCGATGGCATAGGCGGACCAGAATACGCGACGTCGTATCTGTAAATCAAGCAAAACTGATTCATCCCGGGCACTGCTCGTCGGCAGGTTCAGGTGCAGTTGTGCGATCACGCAACAACGCATAGCAGCGGAGATCATTGTGAGAACCGTTTGTGACGATGGCGAATGGAGAGCATGCAATGTGCAAAGCAGGTAGGCCTGCACATGTAGGACTGGGTCGAGACATGAAAAAACAGTCCCGAGCAATGGCATAGCCGAGGAGTATAAAGCCTATCTCAATGTTCAGTTTTATGCCACAGTAGCAAAGGACCGACATACCTGCGAGGTCCTCATGTCCTCCGGGGACACTTGTGGAGCAATTAGCAGGCTCACCGCAAAAGCCTACCGGACACGTTCAGTATACAAAATCAAACGAGTTTGCACAACTAACCATCTTCACGAAGAATTCCTTCCACTTCTCTTCAGCCGGTAGTGGCTGGCTCGATCGTTTCGCAGATTGCCATGCCCCGTACCAGCTGATGAACGTTTCTTCATGGAGGAACGGGTATCGAGGATTGACGCGTTCAAGAAAGATTCGAATGAGCTTATCCTGGGTGGCTGTTGAGATACCTGTCTCTTCGTACTCGACTGGCCCCACTGACAGTCCGGTAGGAGAAGGCTGTGTAGGTGGCGTGAGGATGGTGAGAGACGGGGTGCTCTGAGCGCGGATGCTTTCAGCATGTAGAGAATTGACCGCAAGGGGTGAGTTTTCAGCGGGCGGGTCGCGCTGCAATTGGGGCTGAATTCTATGAGCCCTTGACGCTGTTCCTGCAACATTCGCAGACGAGGACATCTCATATGCTCCCACGGTGGCGCGGGTATTTCGTCCGGTGGGTTCTCGCTCGGCTTCGAGCTCGAGTATGCGCTCCTCAAGAGCCCGTGCATACCTGCAACATTCAGCTAAAGCTTCATCTTGTAAGCTTCCACAAGATTTGCTTACTCCGGATTGACTCGACATTCCCTTGGCGGTTTTTGGCTCGCGACACAAGCTATACAAATCGCTCACCGGTTAGAGGGAAAGAAAGACGTCAGTTTTTCTTCTACTTACCAGCATGTGCTTGAACGCAGTTACTGCATGGTCTTGACTGGCTGCACTATCCATAACGTTAATAGTCCAAGTATAAATCGCTAGGTGTATGCATACTTTCTGCTTGCGAGCACGGCAGCGCCTGCAAGCTAGGAGTGCCGGTCTTGGCTTTGCAACAATTGTCCTACCCTCTCCGGGGTGATCATCAGCACTATCTGACACAGCCATTAGTTGGATTCATTGTCTGACTGCAAACTGCGAATTCCAATTCATAAATCTTGACTTGGTATTTCTCCTTGGATGTTATTCGGCCTTCTCATCGGCAGTCGTGATCCTCGAATCTTGAAATGAGCTATTCCCCTTGCGGAAGATGCTGACTCAGTCGTGTGGTACGATATCCCTGCCTTGTTTCTGAGGCACCAGGCCAGTTAATTGCGGGGTTGTGGGGTAGAGACCATGCCGAGAAGTGATCAGGAACCTAAGAATGCAATGTATAATATGGATATCATTTTTG